TTATCACCCCTAGCCCACATGTCACTTCTGTTTTAATTTTGACAAATGGAAAGGGAAAAAAGGATATAAGAGAAAAAAAACAAGGAAAAAAGACATCTTGACACAAACGACCCACAGTTAATTGCAAAAGAGAAACTAATACCGACAAACGTACTTGAGATAAACCCAGTTGCCTGTAAGAAATCTTCGATTTAACTGCTGTGATATGTAATCAGTCAATACATGAAAAAAAAACCCCTCTGATATACAGTCTTCCTATTTTCTCCCTTAACACGGTGCCAAACAAGTCCTGGGGCATGGAACTGCTTTCCCTTTGCACATAAATAGGTGCACTTGCTGGCATGGTGCCTCTGGGCATCATGTTCCACCAGCTATTGTGAAGCAAAATCGCTACAGTTGAGATTTGAATAGAACCCGTCTCCAAGTGGTTGACTTTGCCACATATATGTTTCATAACTGCCATTTCACTTGTTTTACTTAGCATTTTGCAGAAAATCAAATTCTAACTTCCCTTGATGGGGACCCAGATGCAGATTTCCATCCCCTCTTCCTCTGCACACTAGATGTGATACAAAGAGGGGGACCTCCCCAGACATTCTGTGGGGACTAGTTTTCAGTGCGAATAAGAGCACGCATGTGCACAGAGAAGCCAGTTCACACTCCCAGCTTCAGCCTGCCGCTCCAGGCGCCTCCACCCCAGACAACGGCTGCACCGCAGAACCCGTCAAATAAGGGCTCATGTGGACAGATGGAAAAGCCATTAGGAAGTACAGCCAACTCTGTGTTCCCACATTTCCGGGACAGAAACCACATTCAGTGCAGGCGCAGTGCAAAATCACCAGGGTCAGTGCCTTTAAATCAACTGAGTGTCTAACCTCTTCCAAGATGTTATACAACCAAAGCCCATTTGGTGAGCTAAAGACTGTGCCCTACAGAAAAGTACACTGGCTACAGGGCTAGACCAAAGACCCAAGCCCATCATGGACTTTTTCCATAGCTCTATCTAATTTTTCTTATCTGGAAAACTGTTCAACACATGACTCCTAAGAATACAACAAATAGCTATTATAAAGTAATGTATAAGCAAAGTACAATTATACATCAAGAGAGTGGGGGGGGGAGAGTACAATGTTAAGGCTGAGAAGCCATTTTTTTTTAAAGATTTTATTTATTTATTTGAGAGAGAGAGAGCATAAGCCGAGGGAGCTGCAGGCGGAGGGAGAAGCATGTTCCCCACTGAGGAAGGAGCCTGATGCAGGACTCGATCCTGGGACCCTGGGATTGTGACCTGAGCCGAAGGCAGACGCTTAACTGACTGAGCCACCCAGGCGTCCCTAAAAAGCCATCTTCTAAGGGAGTATTGGTGTTAGGTATACATTTTCTTTCTTCCTTTTTTTTTTTTTTTTAAGACTTTATTTTAGAGGGGGGAGGGGCAGAGGGAAAGAGAATCCTGAAGCAGACTCCACACTAAGCATGGAGCCGAATGAGGGACTTGATCCCAGGACCCTGAGATGGTGACCTGAGCTGAAATCAAGAGTCAGCTGCCCAACCTACTGAGCCACCCAGGCGCCCCAGCCATACATTTTCTAGGTTAACTCAACATGCTTTATTTTGGGGTGATAAGAGCCAGCAAAATATGTCTAACTTTTTCCTGACTATTTTTCTGGAATTCCCAAGGACAGAATTGAGACCACCCTAATGAAGGAGAGAAGTACCTTGCACTCCATCTCCCTCAGTGCAGAGCCTACATGGGCCCCTGGCCTCAGTCCTCCTGGTGAGCCTTGGTCCACACACTGCAAGGGGAGAACTAAAAAGCACCCAGAGAAGGAGAGTCGCCTCCGTTGCTGAGTTTTCTTTTGTTTTGTATCGTAGGATCACTTTGGCCATTATTTTCCCACTGAGGCTTGGAACCTGTTTGATTTTCCACAAATTAGGATCACTCAGCTCTTCTCAAAGTCACTTTGAGGGCAAACTTAAGGTTAATTTCTCACTTACATATGTAGCAAAACGTTTGCTTCCCCAGGGTCCACCCACATGGGGATGCATGCAAGCCACAAGCTCACCACATATGGACCTAGACCAAGACCTGGCTTTAGGGAGCACATCAGCCCTTCAGACAAAGCCTGCATGTGATTCCCTCCAGAGGACCCATAAGGGCTCAGACCCTGTGGGCCTAATCACATTTGAATCAGCTCTGCCTTTTTTCCTTCTGTTTTGTGAACTTTTCACACTCGTGGGCTGGCCCGTGAGCCGGGTGCTTATGCCAGTAATTTTAGAAGAATGAACAGCAATAGAAACACATACATATGTGTAGAAGTGGGGAGAAGTGATGTTGGTGATGGCAGATGCATCGGGAGAAAATCTGGCGGATTGGGGACCAGTTTTATAGGTATAAATGGAGCGAATCTACAGACTACAGCATATGCTGATAATTTCCAAAGCCATGTTGCACCACTTAGAAGTTACCTGAAGGGTTTCAGCAGCTGCCTGCCTTTACAAAGTTTATGCACTGGCGCATGTTTTGTCCTGTGCTGAGGGGCTAGGCTGCTGGAAATGTCCTGCCCAGCAGCACCACTCAAGAGTGAGGTCATCACCCCCAGGACAGATGGGGGTCCACTTCTGGCCTCTCTCGGAGCCTGCAGCAGGGAAGGCCACTCTGGCCGTCAGAGTTTAGACTTTTTACCCAATGATGAAGTGTTCTGATCCAGAAGTAACTCAAACCCACAACTCCTTCTACGTAAAGGTAGGCCCAATAATCTCCAAAGGGGCTAATCATTCTTTCTTCTCCCACATAACTGCTAAGGAATGTGCCATTTTACAAAGTAAGTTTTGAGTTTTGTCTTCCACTATCCCAGTTCCTTTCTTCTTCATGGTATATACTATGGAATGCGCTCCATCACTTCTTTCCTCTCGTACCCTTATATTGATGATAATCTCTATGTCTTGGGAAAAAAACTGTTAAATACAATCCTTTTGTTTTTGCCATCTTCAAATAAGGGAAAAACTGCTCTGCTCATTTTATAGGAATGCTGCATCTGTGGGGCGCCTGGGTGGCTCAGTCGGTTAAGCGTCTGCCTTTGGCTCAGGTCATGATCTCGGGGTCCTGGGATCGAGCCCTGTGTCGGGCTCCCTGCTCAGTGGGGAGCCTGCTTCTCCCTCTCCCACTCCCCCTGCTTGTGCTCTCTCTCCCTTGCTCTCTCTCTGTCAAATAAATAAAATCTTAAAAAAAAAAAAAACCTTCAAGTAACTTCTAAGTGTTGTGACACGGCTTTGGAAATTACCAGCATATGCTTTAGTCTATAGATTCACTCCATTTGTGTATGCATAGGTACTGATCCCTCTTCTCTCTTAGCTTTATCTCCTAACTACTCCCTAACCTAAAACTTTGCCACCACACAGTGGTTTGCTCATCACTCCCACTCACTGTCCCATTAGGGCCTATCTTATCCTTTCACATATGTGCCCCCATCGCTCCCCCACACTTGGCTCTACTCCTTCTTCAGAGTCTCTCTTCCCTGTGGGCCTTCCTGACCACTCCCAACTTCCTCTGACACACAGGTCCACACTACATATTGGACACCCACCACGTGTTGTCTGGGATTACTAGCTCTCAGGTATCAAGTTGAAACATATGAAATGGACAACATGCAACTATTTTTGACATACAAAACAGCTATCAGGTATGGTTCGATCTAGTATATGCACCTTCTCACCCCCAAATACAAGTTCTGTTTGCATTCCTAGTGTCTCCAATAGGCCCTTACACAGTGCAGGTGTTTGCAATTAAAAATAAATCGATCGACTATTCTTAAATTGGCAAAATAGTAGATAAACTTCTATTTTAATCTGAAAATGTATCCTAATCCATTAATACCATCACCATGGATGATTTGGGATGGTTACTATACCCCCCCCTTGCAAAAACATCCTAGTACTGTCTGAAATATAAATATAAAACTGTATGGCACTAGAAGTTATGGCTGGAGGCATTCCTTTATAAATATTACAGGGTTTTAATAGATTCTATATTTCAGAAAGATCATTCTCAGAATTTTCATCAGTAAATTTTATATTCACTAGAATATATTTCATGTTTATTACATAATTAGTTACACAATCCAGTGAGAAAACATTAGACTATTGCACTTTAATTACATTACATAGATTCCTCTGTCCCTCTCCCTTATTGCAGTCTTAATTCCATATATAATTACATTTATTATCATGATAAACTGAAACTAAGGAAAAATCTAGTGAAAAAAAATCCATTGTTTTAAAGCTAAGAGACTTACTATAGTAACTGATTTTGAGTGCAGGGCCCCATTGCTTTCCAAAATAAAAATATTCAAAATAGCATGTGATTATTGAATTGAATTTCACATTCTAAAGATAAAATACAGTTACATCAGTGGAGAAACAGAGAACGGGGCAGCCTGTTACTTTGAGTCCATCCCTATTGGTAGGCTCAGAATGACGTAAGGAAAGAAATTAGTATTTCATCACCTCCTTGTTTGGTGCTGTGGCTGGATCAGTGAAGTCCAGATTTCTTTTTCAATGATTCCACTTCTTAGAGCCACGTTATCCGCAGGTGATGAGTCATGTCTTCAGAACTTGACCCCAAGTACATTTATAGTGTTTTAGGCTGAGCCTTTCATTCATGTAGTATTAGAACATATAGAAGACTTCATCAAGCCAGGTAAACATCTATTAGAGTGAAAAAAAAACAAAAACAAACTTCATACTAATTGATTTGGATTTGCCACTTGTCATTTATGAGTCATTAAAAGCAAACTGTATAACTTTGGTTCATATTTCTTTTTAATCTTAAGATTCACAGAGTTCTGAAGTACCCTTGGTGAATACGGTCCATCTTAATGTCAAGAGAAAATGGGAAGGGGTCACATTTCTTCCACTGCTGTTGGGCAGGCCACTTTCAATCCCCCAGCTCTTTCACTGTTGAGACAGCCCTAGAGGACATTTAAAAACGTGAGAGTTTCTCATCAAAGGTCTTCTTCCTTTATGGTCCCCAAAACACAGTCAACTTTGGCCATCTCAATCCTGCTTTTTCTTGGTAGAAAACGAGAAGAGTCTTTCTGTTTTGAAATAAACAGAGAGGTCAGAAATGTATGTGAGAGGAAATAATTTCCAGAACAACAATAATAATTACAAAGTCTGGAATGTTAAAATATTAAAAAGGCAACATTTATTTAAAAGATGGTTATTTCAAGTGGGTTTTTCCCCCATAGAAGTTTTATTTTGGGGTAGGTGTCTATGTTAGGGCTGAGAGCGCCTCCTGCTGGTATGCTGAGGTAGACCTGTTCAGAGGGCCTTTCCAGGCACTGGAATGTCCCCAGGTGACGTTTGGATGCTGCCTCTCATCCTTTCCCCCATCTCTGAAAGCTACACAAATTTCCATTTTTAACTCTACACTAAATCTTTAGTGCACACCCCACACAAATACAAATTTTTAACAAGTTTTATATTTTAAAACATTTTATGAGGTTATGGTTGCTATAAACCCTCAGTAAGTGAATACTTGGCCTTCAGTATTTATGAAATCTCAAAGACAAGGCCATGGCTTTGTCCCTGGGGAAATAAATGTGCCTCAATGGGCAGATAAGTTAAAAAAATTTTTTTCTATGAGGGATTTGTCTTGATAGAGAGGCCCCATGGCAAAGTGGTTAAAGGAACAAACTTTATTGGTTAAACAACAAATAAAGACTGCTTCAGTTCCAATAGGGGCTCTGTCATTTACTTGCTGTGTGAACTTGAGCAAGTTACTTAACCTTTCTGTGTTTTCAGTTCCTTTGGCTATAAACCAAGGATGATAATAATAGCTAGGTTGTTATGGGGATTAAATCAGTTATATGTGGAATGCAATTATAACAGTGCTTGGCTCAGGATAAGCTCTATATAAAGGTTTGCTAAGTAAGTTGGAATTCAATATACTTGGACAACTTCTGACATGCTGGCCCTGCTTAGAGCATGAGGGAGGTTGGCCTATTTTAGCATTGCTGCTCATCTGGGAGGCCATCTGAATTAGTTTCAATGTTGATCATAGTTGTGCTATGTGTTATCTATTGTTCCAGAACAGTGGCTCTCAGAATTGGACATGCATCAGGCTCATCTGGAGGGCTTGCTAAACACAGATTACTAGCCCCCATCCCTCGGGTTTCTGATGAAGTAGGTCTGGGACCTGAGAACGTAAATTTCTAATAGGTTCCCCAGGTATGCTGATGGCGTTGCTCTAGGGATGACACTTTGAGAACCACCGTTATAGGATAATAGTTCCAATTCTGGCTGTACATTAGACCACCTGAGGAGCTTTTTAAAAAATTCTGTTGCCAGGCCCCTAGACCAATTAAGTCAGAGTCTTTGAGGGTGGGGCCCAGCCATGATTTGTTTTTAGAGCTCCTCAGGTGATTCCAACATGCAGCCAAGGTTGAGAACCTTTGTGCTAATCACTATGCTGCTGATGAATTTGAGTGATGGAGTGATGACTACCTACACTTTACAGGTAAAGAAATTGAAGCTTGGTGCAGTGTTCCCCATTGGGGTGCTTGCTATAAATGCTGATCTGCTAAATCAATCTTTTGGAGTGGGGCCCAGGAATTTACATTTTAATAAGCACCTCAAGAGTCCCTTAAACATTTAGTTTTTTGATCTGCCTGAGGACACATCAGCAGTCCGTGGTGGAATTCTTATCTCCTGTCTCTGATCTAAGCAGCCAGAAATGCTGGTATTATGAAAGAGAGTAAGCTTTGCATTTAGTCTGTTTTTACATTTTTTTTTTATTGAGCTTAGTCTCTCAAGAGAGGCCCTTGTATTTTCCTAAGTACTGTCCTTAGATACTTTGTACCTTTATACACACAGCCGACTGTGTAATAGGAGTGGACCGATAATAAATTCCATTCAAATGCTACTTGGAGGTCATCTTTATTTCACTTACATACACTAGGATTTGAACGTAGAAAGGAAGAGTTAGTTAAGGGCACAGCTCTGGAGTCAGACTGTCTGCTTCTTCCCCCATTGATTACTGTGCCACCTGGGCAAGTCACCTAACCTCTCTGTGCCTGTTTCCTCCAGTGAGTTATAGGACTTTGGTGGGAATGATGTGGTAATCCACATAAAAGTGCTTACAACAGTGCCTAGCAATAAGTGCCTACTAATGCTTTCTAGAATGATATTTACTGTTATTGTTATCTGACCAACAAACCTAAATGCTCCAAACAGTATTTAATAAACTTAAAGGTTGTTTTCTACGGAGTACACTGCAGAGAATTCATGAAACGAAAATGTAAACCAGAAAGAGGATTTAAAAAAAAATGCATGGAGTGTAGAAGAAAATCACTAAAGAATTTTATGTTCTTCTTGGAAATTTTCTATGTAAAAATTCAGGAGAGCATGTCTCCTGGCCCTACCGGGTATTACAGTAAAAATACTATACTTCTGTGATGGTCCTCCAATTGGCCCAATCCTACATGGAGGAGCTTCTGAGAACGAAAATTCGGGCTTATTCTTAAAAGTAGAATGATTTTGGTTACTTAAAGGGGGAAAAGGACAGATTTATCAAAGTTATAATGTATCAATTACATAATTTTACTCACAGACCTGGCTTTGTTGAATGTGGTATTTTTTACTTTTGCCTTGTTCTGGAACTTCAATCTGCTAAATAGATTAGTAAAATGTCAGTCAGCACAGCTTGGGGAAGCGAGCACACAAATAATCTATTTAACTAGCACATTTCCCCTTCCACAATAATCCTCTCCATGGTCTCAAGGGCTGCCAGTCAGCAGGTACACCTGCCTCCCATCCGCACCTTCCCCCCCTTCATTTGCAAATGTAGGAATGTTGCAGAAATAGGGTCCCTAAAGGTGAGGTGAAGCTTCATGTTTAACACTGGTGGTTGCCTATAGATTTTGTGATTTAACAGAGCTTCTAAAAGGACTTTACACGAAATGAACTCCTAAATCCTGAAATAATCCACAGAGCCCCAATGCATACACTGAATCAAAGCCAAATAGGGCTTGGATTAATCAAAAGGCACCATGAATCAAGTGAAGATCAAGCGGAAGTTCAAGACACTTGAATATACCTCAGGTACATAAGGTAAGCTTAATGTAACAGTCAGGGTCCCGGCAGAAAACAGATGACACACTCCTGAGGAGCGTTTTAAAAAAGGAGCTATTTAATGGAGGTGCGGCCAGGATTAAAGTGAGTCAGTGAAGGGATGCTGGAACCCCCAGGGGCTAGCCGTGACGGGCTCCTGGGCCTGAAGGGGGACGGACAGCAGCTGGTACTGGAACGAGAGGAACGGGAGCAGTGGGGAGGAGCTTGGCCTTCGGCAGAAGGCTGTGCCAGCAGGGACGGAATCAGAGAAATAAATCACACAATCTCACTTTTCTTCCACGCTCCATCCATTCTCGCTGGGTTTTCCCATGGGTGACCCCAGTGGGGGGCCCGAGAGCAAGATGGCAGCACACGGAGAGGAGCCTCCGGCACACAGAGAGGGTTGGGGGAGAGTGGACAGGGAACCGGGAAAGGCTAGCAGTTGTCTGGCACAGCCAAGAAACATGACCTAGGCAGGGCTCAGGAGAAAGAGCTCTTAGACTCTTCTTCAAGGAAAAGAACACTCTTCTTAAGCAACTAGTGTATGCACGGGTCTCAACGTATCACTCTGTTGCCTTTCTTCTCCAACAAATAAGCTCCTTGACTCTGGATCCAACCACTGCATTGTAAATAAAGGCATTTGTAAATAGAGGCATTTGTAAATGCAAGAAGGTGGAGTGGATTAATTGTTTATTACTGCTTATTCTTCATGAGAATATGAGGAACGTTTCAAAATAAGTGGGATAAATAACATGACACCGCAAAAGAGCCTTGTCTTTTAACTACAGTTAATATTGTTATAAAATAGATTGCTTGGAAGGATGCAAAGGACTTCCTTTAGGTTGGTATTGATAGAAATGTTCATATATTTGAAGCCTAGCTTAATAATTAAAAAAAAAATCAGTTATTAGGGATGCCTGGGTGGCTCAGTCTGTTAAGCGTCTGACTCTTGGTTTCGGCCCAGGTCATGATCTGAGGGTCCTGAGATGGAGCCCCACATCAGCTCCATGCTTAGTGCAGAGGCTGCTTGAGATTCTCTCCCTTCCCCTCTCCCTCCCCCTCTGCCCCATTCCCCACTCACGCGTTCTCTCTCTCAAATAAATAAATAAAATCTTTTTTTAAAAAATCAGTTATTAAGTCTTGGTAAATGAGAAATTAATGCTCTGTTGTCTTATGTGTTTTGCTATAGTATTATTGTTATTGCTTACAATATTACATTATAGCTTGTAAGTAGCCTTGTGCAATGAAATACAGAAGTTGGCGAAAATAGTTCAGAATCTTTCTCTCCTATTCTCCTTCATCTTCCTCCCCTCCCTATGTTGAAATAAATAAAACAGAACCTACTATGAATGTTAAGCAATTTCTGATATCTGTTTCCTTGACTTACTTGAATAAGGGCTTTAAATATTTTATATACCAGGGGGAATAAATTTGGGGGGGTGAGAAGAGAGCAAACCCTTTTTTCATAATGCAGTATTCCTATACACTCTTCTTCATCAACTGGTAGTTTCTTTTAATTCACATGGCAATTTCCCCCTGGCTCTCTAAAATTCTATCCACCTGCTATGCTCAGACCATTCTCAAGTGGGCTGTAACATATCTGTACTTTTTCTGTTTTCTAGACAGCGCCAACTATTCGAAGGTTGACATTCCTGGGACATCAGATAATATTGAGCTTGCTGTTTCCCCTCCTCACATGTGACAGAAACACACTTCAAAGCATGATCTCTGAGCCCAGTGGCCTTTTACATTGTCTGATCTTGCCCAGAATGAAAGAGGAGTGGAGAGGAAAATACATATGGTGATGGTAGTTGGCACTGGGGGTGAGAGGTAGGAGGCAAGCCAGAATCAGAAAGCCGTTTGGCTCTTTGTTATTTTCCAGAAAACCAATTTAGAGATTCAGAACCACGTTTTAGTAAACCTAAGGGAAAAAATACACAAACTAATAAAACAAACTAGGTACGGATTATTAAAAATATAAACTGTTTTTCAATTCAGAAAATTAGTCACCATCTTATTCCTGATACCTCTCATGTATTCAGATATGGTTCAATATACAAGATAATAATAATGATACACTTTCAGAAACTCATTAGGAACACATCTATTGCATAAAATATATCTGCTTTCTTTTCTTGATGTCTTTTAGATTTCTTTCAATAGCAGAGATTGCTGGTAGCCTACTCTATTATCCATTTGCCCTTCTTTCTTAGTAATACCACCCAAATTTATTTGGAGAGACAACATACCCTGTAAAGAGACTGCATTTACCAGACTCCCTTGCAGGTAGGTATAGGTCTGTGGTGTGACTAACTCTTGGCCAATGAGCCAGAAGCCGAAATTCTGTGGGACTTCAGAGACCCTTCCTTAAAGAAAAGAGATGAGCCATCCACACTTCCATTCATACTTGCTGTCTAGAATGTGGATGTAATGACTAGAGCTCCAGCAGCCATCTGCAACACGAGGTAAAAGTCACACACTAAAGATGACAGAGCAGAAAGGTCTCTGGCGACATCATGGAGCCACTATCCCAGCCCTAGACTGCCTACCTTTGGGTTTCTTTTAAATGAGAAAGACACAAACTTTTACTTTACCTAGGACACTTCGTCTGTCTTGTTTTGTTCTTCATTATATATCGCCAAACCTACTACTAACAAATACACTTCATTTTCACATAATTCTTAAAATTTTGTTCTAGTTAAAAGGAGCAAATAATAACAAAATTTATTTATTAAATTAATGGTTTTTGCATAGGAGCATAGCTCTAAAAAGAATGTTACAATTTTTTTCCCCTTCTGGTTTGCAGTTAATACTGCCTTTAAGAATATAACATGAGGGGTCCCTGGTGGCTCAGTGGTTAAGTGTCTGCCTTTGGCTCAGGTCATGATCCCAGGGACCTGAGATCGAGCCCTGTGTCAGGCTCCCTGCTCAGTGGAGAGTCTGCTTCTCCCTTTCTCTTTCCCTCTCCCCCCTCCCCCTGCCCATGCTCTCTTTCTCTCTCTCTCTCAAATACATAAATCTTAAAAAAAAAAAGAATGTAACATGATTTTGTTGTGTGTTTACATTTTTTTAGTGCCTTTATTTGACTTCAAATTTTAATGATCTCTTCAGAAATGGTTCGAGTCTCAACTCTGAAAGCATTGCCTATAGCTAAGTTAATTAGCAATAACTAAATTTAGCAGTAAATTTCTTCTTTCGAAGCCTTTCTTCTTACTAGGATAAAAAAATACTATTTAATCTGCTTCTAGGGACTCTCTGCTTTATTTATGGCGTTCATTTGGTTACAGTTTCCTTAATTTTTCTCCCCCTCTCCAGACTCTTCATGATTATCAAAATCTTGGAATTTTTCTGCCTTGCAAAATAGAGACCTCTGGATCCTAGTCTACACAAGCCTTTCATAAATGATACATGTCAGTTCAGACTTTATGTGTTTACCTAGAAAATGAGTGAATGTCACAGTCATACATTTATATGGCTACTTTAAGTTCCACAAAATGGCTTGTTCTGGTCAACTGTGCTTTGTGAGGAAGCCCAGAACTCAGTATACATTCAAAGAGCTGATCGGTTTGCTCTTTTCACTTTCCAGGGTCTCATTCTACCCAGGGATTTGTAGACGAAATTTCAGGTTGAAATGTGGACTATCCCTACAACATCCCCTTGAAAACCCAGTTTTCTTTTTTAAAAAAATTTTAAATGTTTTATTATTTATTTTAGAGAGAGAAAGTGAGAGTGAACGAGGGGAGGGTTAGAGGGAGAGAATCTCAAGCAGATGTAGCCCCTCCCACTGCCGAGTGCAGAGCCTGATGCAACACGGGGCTCCATCCTAGGACCCCAAGATCATGACCTGAGCTGAAATCAAGAATTAGATACTTAACTGACTGAGCCACCCAGGTGCCCCAAAAGAACCAATTTTCCAGGGGAAGGGTCTTAACTTTCCAAGAATCAAAATAAGAAAGTAAAAAAAAGAGCTTGTGGAAATAAAACTTGTTGAGTATTTGGATTAAGCAATGCAATATTGACTAATATGCTGATTTCACTATCAGCCACGGGAAAGGATAGGTTTCAATTTGTGTGCAAATCTAAAGAATGTAGTTAGTGTGGCTGTTGTTTTTTAAGCTTTAAATAGGTCACTACCTTCTATTATTTAGCAAACTCTTTAGCTATTCATTGTACAAGTATTTCCTGCATCAAGTAGCTTACATTTTATTCAGCCACATTTGAGAGTACTTCTCCCTTTTAATGGGGCTACTTCAGTTAACTACTTTTTCTTCTTTTTATATATATATATAATAATTGGAGCCGAAGGGGGTCCATCCTGCCTAAGAGGTTGGATTTTATGACTCTTTAAAAACAAGCATCCATGATTCTTTCATTGCTTTGATTCGCTACTCTATAGTACATTTTGAATTGTCTGAATACCAAGGGGCAGTAAATTTTATTTTCCCTAGGAAAATATTTTCAGTTCTAGAAGAAAGAGAAATAAGGATAAAATGCAACTATTTTCTCAGAAAAAAAGCTGTAAAGTCTAGTAAAGAGCAATGTTCAACAAAAGATGTCACCCATCCTCTTATAAAGGACTCAATTTAAATGAAAACATTAGGGAACATTTCCAAATGTTTTCTTTTGCATTTTTAAAGATCAGTATCACATTCTGCAAAAAAAAAAAAAAAAAGAAAGAAAAATATGTTTATACATGTCAACCAAGCATTAGTATTTGTAATCATCTTTAAAACTCTAATTGTACTATCTTATTTGGGATATGCTTGTATCATGATGGTGACAAGGCAAGTCAAAAAGTTTAAAATCTCAGTGTCTCTTTTTACAGCCTGCCACCAACCCTTTCAATGAGTTACTAGGCTTTATTGAAGAGACACAGACTAGAAAGGCAAAGTTTAATTTTACACTGACAAAAATTTATAGCCTTGAGAGCTTCTTTTGCTCTAGGGCTTCTTTCGACTGCTAATGGCATTTTAATTTGGCACAGCCGAAGCTTCAAGAAACTGTGAGTTCTTTCTAGAGACAAAACTGTAGAACTTATTTAAGTTCATCGCTGCTGTGTTAAAGACCTCTCAGGATCCTGACTTTATGATGTAGTTTTTATGGAAAATCTGGCATCTTCCATTTGGGGGAAAGCAGAGATACAAGGATACAGAGCAATGTAAGGACACCTCTCTTGGAAAAATGGCTTGAATTCTAAAGACAGCTCATTACAGAAGGCAGAGGAGCTCATCTCTGGGAGGTTGGGTTCTTCACCGGAGGACCAGAATTCATCCCTGTAGGTTAATGTTGGCTGATGGTGGGAACTTAAAGTGAAAAATATACACAGATAAGAGCACTTACCATTTCTGGATTCTCTGCAGCTAGCTTTAGCATCTTTTCTGAGATCATCTTTTTCAAGCAGCTACTCAGCAAAAAGGCCTGAAGAATCCAGAAATAAAGTCTCTCAACTGAAGAAATCTTGTCTTTCTACCCTCCTCACACCACAAAGCAGATTTTGAACTCTGCTCTCCAATAGCACGCTTTTAAGACTTTAGATTCATCTTTAATTTCCATAAATTTGCATAAGATGCAATTAGCAAGTAGCCATACATTTTCTTAACTACATGGATGTACTCAGGGTAAATTTTTAAAAAGATAGAGAATCATGACATTTACTAATCATTTTCCCTCTTAAAATGTCCCCTCCTATTTCTTCCTATTACTTTGTAAGCAGCTCATGTTTTACAAGCAACAAATAATAAAAAGTGCTTATTATTGTAATCAAATCAACTGACAATGGTTGATCTTACATTTAATTGTATACATGATTATTCGCAGACCTATTACTAGGCATAAACCTGTTTGAAAGGGTATATTAACACCTTATGGCTTTTACCGAATCCCCGAACATTGTTTTTCATCACTTTCTTATTTTTCTGGCATCTTTAATCACTCACTTTTAAGACTGACGGTTGCTCCCCTTATCACCTGTGGCTTTTTGTTGGCTCATCATTGGTGCCAAGACCCACGCTAGACATCTTGCTACGCAAAAGCTGGGGTTTCCTTTTTCCAGGATCTTCACTCCACGTGCCAGTTTAAGTTTCCCCGCAATGTCCCCACTTGCTCCTTTCCCACTAACCCTCTTTCTCCTTTGTCCTGCTCTCAATGCTTGGCTTGCACTTTTTTCTTTGGGTCCTACTACAGTTTGAGACAACTAAAGCTCAAAGCTTGAGGTTATAGCTCTTAGTATAAATTTATGCTCAAGGATGGTCACTGCACTGAAGGGAGGGGAGTGATGGAGAGGAGGAAAAAGGAAAGAGAGAAAACCCAGGTTGGGATGGTGGCAAAGCAGAGGCTCTTGGAGGATAGGACATAGAAAGCAGAATTAGAGGGAGAATGGCTACATATGGGGTAGCATCTCAGAGTCCTGCAGGACTGTAGAGATTGACTGGAATTTATTTCATTTAATGGGAGAGAAAGGAGGTAGAAGAGAAGAAATTCACTGCTACCAATAAGGAAAAGAGGAGAAGACGTGGGATTTACAAACAAAAACAAATCATGATTTCCTGGTTTAGCTAAAAACTAACCCTTTTATCTGGGCATATATAAAACCTACACAAAACTAGGATATGAAATAGTTAAACAACATAACCCGAGGTGACAGAGCTTGGAAGGGTGTTTAATAATGCCCCATAAGATGTGGACCGATTCCATATTCCATACGATGTGCACAAATATGCAGGTTAAGACTTGGCTATAAACCAGGTAAGGTTTATTCACTATAAAGGCAGTGAGCTATTGTTTAAAGGGTCTAGAAAATATTGGGGTCCAAGCCCTCATTTGTATTTGCAGGGCACACAAGCCACATTTCTTCCTTTTGCAGGAGTAGCTCTTGGGTACGTATCAATAAACCCACACTCCAGAGGAAATAAGAGCTTACTAAGAATCCTTTAAAAGAATGTTTATTGCACTCTCTATAGCGGCTTAAATTCATTTGGTACAGACTAGATTAAAAGACCATAATAAAATTTAACTACTGCATTTAGCATTCTGGGCAAGGGTAAGTGGTTTCACTGCCAAGATCTATCTGCATTTCTCCAAGTGACTGCAAACCATCCTACCATTTCCCTAAGAATGTTTCATATTCAAGGTGAACCTGACGGCCCATTTCTTTACCCTAGAATTTGGTTTAGCTTTTCATGTTTTTCAGAGGACCTTGGTATCTATTATCTTGTGATCACAACTATACCAAAAGTAGAGTGTCTCAGGGAGCTTTGGTTACCTGAAACCACAATGCTCCATGGAACTTAGTGTGATCGCCAGCGACTTAAGTTCAACGAAATGCTGACGCAAAGATTACTTTGATATTTTGGTTTTGTTTTAGAACATCTGTAGTTTTGATTCTACTTTGAAATAGCTTAAGTTATTTCATAGAATTTTTCAGCTGAATTTGGTGTTTAGAAAATTAAGTCTTTTTTAGGGTGCCTGGGTGGCTCAGTTGGTTACATGACTGCCTTCGGCTCAGGTCATGATCCTGGAGTCCTGGGATCGAGTCCCACATCAGGCTCCCTGCTCAACGGGGAGTCTGCTTCTCCCTCTGACCCTCTTCCCTCTCATGCTCTCTATCTCTCATTCTCTCTCTCTCAAATAAATAAATAAAATCTTAAAAAAAAAGAAAATTAAGCCCTTTTTAAAAAAAAATTTACTCCAACTTTAATTACAAAGCCATGGAAGACCTGGATAGTTTGTTGTCCAACAGTCTCTCCTCTCCTAATAGAACCTTGATTTCGTCTGATGACAAAGTGCCCAGCTCATGCTTACTCTAAGCTGATCATGAATTTTGTTCTTTTTTTGCGAAATACTTAATTCTCAGATTCTCTTGCAGCTAGGAGTGGTCATGAGACTCAGTTCTGGTCAATGAGACATAAACTACTGGGGCTTCTGAGGCAAAGCTTTTGCCTTCCAGATAAAAGGGATGTCAATCGTCTACCTCTAGTATTCTTGTTAAGTGAGATAAAAATCTGTATTGTCTAAGTCAGAGGTCAATATATCTAGCCCCTCACTTGTTTTTATAAATTTTTATTGGTAAACAACTATACCCATTTGTTCACATATTGTCTGTGGCCACTTTTGTGCTACAACAGAGTTGGGTAGTTGTAACAGAGACCAGATGGACCCCCAAACTAAAATATTTTCCATCTGGCCCTTTGAGAGAAAGTTCACCAATGCTTTGTCTAAGCCACTATTAGTTGAGTCTGATGTTATTTAGTAACTAAATTCATTTCTAATCGACATGAAGGCTGCGGTGACTAGTAAGATAAAACAAAACAAAAAATAAACCAAAAAAAACAGTATTATAGGCCAAAAAAGGAGAGTGTATAGCATATTCTAGTACTCTGCTCTGGTTGGGTTAGGGTAATGTGCTTTGTTCACCCCAGCAAGCAAGAGAGCATTTCAGCGCTGGTTCTCATGTGATGTCCCAAGAACTCACCTGCTTGGTGTAAATAACAAACCACTGCCAGCCACTCTCTTCACTAAACTGAAATCTCAGCTCTAAGTTCTGGTTGAGAGTTCGCTGGGGTCCATCCATATCCAGCAGAGTTCCCTACAGAGAAAAGATAGTATTTGATCTCCGATAGAAATTTAAGCAGCTATTAACTGCTGGGCAAAATATTAAAACAAGTGATAGAGTCACTATCCCCAGGAAGCTGTCAGTCTATAAGGGGCTATGAAAGTAAGTTACCACAGTTTGGTATGATAAGTATTATAAGTATTGTAAGGGAAGCAAACTCAGGTCTATGGAAGGAGGTAGGATGGGCACCTAATCTGGATGCAATTTGTGGGGCAGAGGATCACAGACAAGGACTTTATACAGAGTAAGAGCTCCAGAGAGCTCTTTTCAGATGTTTGGCTGATTAACGATCTGTCCATGTATGGGGAGAACCCCCATACACCACTGGTGGGTACATAACATCGAGCAGACTATTTGGAAAATAGTCTAGAAGTTCCTCACAAAATGAAATATGGAATTACCATCACGGTACCAGCAATTCCACTCCTAATCATATACCCAAGAGAAATGAAAACCTATGTCCACACAAAAACCTATACACAAATGTTCATAGCAGCATAACTCATAACCACCAAAAGAGAGAAACAACCCAAGTGTCCATGAATGAATGAATAAACACAATATAGTATATCCATACAACAAAATAGTATTTGATCATGAAAAAGATAAAGTGTTTATACATGCTATGGTTAAGGGTGGACCTTGGAAACATTATGCCAAGTAAAGGAAGCCAGTCACAAAGATCATATATGATTCTATTAATCATGAAATGTTCAGAATGGGTGAATCTATAAAGACAAGCAGATTGGTGGCTTCTTAGGGCTGGTAGGAATGGGGGGATACAGATGTGAGCTAAGGGGTATGGGACTTCTTTCTGAGGTGATGAAAGTATTCTAAAACTGGTTGTGGTGATGGATGCAAAACTCTGGGAATGCATTAAACACCCCTGAATTGTACACTTTATATAAGTGAATTGTATGGTATGGGAGTTATATCTTGATAAAGCTGTTACAAAGGAAGGGAATGACTGTGTATGTAGTACTGGGGGAGGGATAGACATATGCATCATGGAACAGACTAGGGAATCCAGAAATAAATCCACACAAATATGCCCAGCTGATATCTGACAAAGGTGCAAAAGCAAGTCACTTAAAGGACAGGCTTTGCAACAAATGGTGCTGAGCCAGTGGACTTCCACAGGCAAAAAAGGGAATGTTGTTCTGAGTTTCACACCCTAGATGAAAACTAACTCAGAATGAGTCATGGACTTAAATGTATGACCTATAACTCTAAAACCTTTAGGAAAAAACTCTAAGAAAAAAATCTTCAGGAACCAGGGTTTGGCAGAGTTCTTAGACTCAACACTAAAAGCACAATCTATAAAAGGAAAAACTGATGAATTAGAATTCATCAAAATTAAAAACTTTTGCTCTGTACAAGACCCTGTTGAGAGGATGAAAAACTAGAGAGTGAGAGAAAATATTTGCAAACCACGTATCCAACAAAAGACTAGTAACTAGGATATAAGAAGTACTCTCAAAACAACAGTAAAAAAAAAAAAAACACCAAAAAACCCAAACAATCAATTAGAAAATAGGCAAAAGATATGGAAGAAAACATTTCACCAAAGATAGACAAGATGGCAAATGAGCCTATGAAAAGATGGTCAGCACCATCAGCCAGGAGGGAAATGCAAATTAAAATCACAATGAAATGCCATTCCACACTTACATGAATGACTAAACTAAAAAACAGTGACAACACCAAATGCTGATGAGGATGCCGAGAAACACCATCACTCATGCCTCACTGGTGGGAATGGAAATTAGCACAGCCACCCTTGAAAACCGTTTGGCAATTTCTTAAAAAACTAAGCATGCAACTTCCAAATAACCCAGCAACCGTACTCCCAAGCATTTATGCCACAGAAATGGAGATTTGTGCTCCAAAACATACATATGAATGCTTATAGGAATTTTATTCATAATAGCTAAAAACTGGAAACAAACAGCTATCGTTCATTGGGTGAGTGGTTAAATAAATCTTGTCCATTTCATACCATGGAATACTGCTCAGCAATAAAAAGAACCAAACTACTGATATATACAACAATCTGAATGAATTACTAAAGAATTATGCTGAGTAAAAAAAGCCAATCCTTAAGGCTACATATGATTCCGGACGCCTGGGTGGCTCAGATGGTTAAGCGTCTGCCTTCGGCTCAGGTCATGATCCCAGGGTCCTGGGATCGAGTCCCACATCAGGCTCCCTGCTAGGCGGGGAGCCTGCTTCTCCCTCTGCCTCTGCCTCTCTCTCTCTCTCTCTCTCTGACTTTCATGAATAAATAAATAAAACATTAAAAAAAAAAAGGCTACATACGATTCCATTTAGAGAACATTTGTAAGGTAATCAATTCTTTGTTTTTGTTTACATTTTTGCCTCCTAAATTCAGTCAATTCTTATTATTCACAGTAGTCCTGTTCTATAAAGTCGCTGTAAACACTGCATTACTGAACACTGAGTCATTGCTCCGGGGGAAATGCAGGGTTAGGTTCCTGCAAACCTCTGGTCACAAAATTTTCATCAACTCATCAGTACATAACCTTGTTTTAGGTTTCTAAAACCTGTTTCTGTTTTTATTTTTTTAAAGGTTTTATTGAGGTGTAATTGACGTAAAAAAATAACCTTGCACATATTTAATGTACACAATCTGATGAGGTTTGGACATAAGCATACATTCATGAAACCATCACCACAATCAAAGTAATGAATATATCCATCACTTCCAAGAGTTTTACATAGCACTCCTGAAATGACACAATTATAAAAATAACAAACAGATTAGTGGTTCCTTGGGGCTAAAGAGAGGTGTGGTGAGAGAAAGTGGGTAGAGCTATAAAAGGCCAACATGAGGGGTTCTTGGGATGATGAAAATGTTTGGACTCCTGCTTGTATCAATGCCAATATTCTGGTGTTGATGTTGTGCTATAGTTCTGCAAAATGTAACTAATAATTTGAGAAATGTGGGTGAAGAGTACACAGGATCTCTGTACCATTTCTTACAACTGCATGAGAACCTACAGTTACATCAAAATTAAAAGTTTAAAAGAATCAACTGTTTAAAAGCAAAAATAATTATAACGCAGCATGAGGCTTATATATGTAGAAATATGGCAATAAATATCACAAAAGGGGAAATCGAAGTACAGTGTTATTACACTTTTTGTGAAGTAGTATAATAATTAAAACTGGAATGTAATAAGTTCAAGAAGTCTAAAGAAATGAATAAATTAAAAAAATCTTTAAAAAAAATAAAGTAACCATAAATAAATGAAAAGGTACAACTAAAAAAAAATGGTGTAAATACATGGAATCATAAAATACTTAATCAAAAGAAGGCAGGAAAAGAGGGAAAAAACTGATAAATCTCAAAGAAATAGACAAATCCACAATTAGGTTTGAAGGTTTTAACATTCCTCTTCTCTCGGTAACTGGTAGAACAAGTAGAAAATGTACCAGGATACAGGAGATCTGAACGCTGTCAACCGCTTGACCTAATTGATAACTTACAGAATACTTTACCCAATAGTGGCAGAATACACATTCTTTTCAAGTGTACATGGAACATTTACCAAGACAGACCAGATTTGGGGGCCATAAAACAAGGTCCTGTAAGTTTAAAAGACTGAAATCATATGCTGAAAATGTCAAGATTGCTGGTTTGGCCTTTAGCAGGTGGTAGAAGTCGTGTTTACCAAAATGGGGACCACAGGGGGGAGGATCTTTAGGTTGGGCAGGAGAGGGCCAGGGTGAGTCTGGTTTGGGAAAAGGCTGCGTCTGGGATGTCCATGAGACACCTGGTGTAGATGCCCAGAAGGCATTAGGACCTTCCGACAGGGAGGTGGGCAACTGATTTCAGAGAATACGTAGAGGAAAGATGGAAATGGAACCCCAGGGGAAACAAGCACTTCAGAAGTGCTCAGAGGAAGAGGCAGCCCACAAAACAGCCCAAAATTCCCAGGAGAGGGAATTCTGAGAAGCAAGTAAGGGTTGACAACACCAAATGCCAGAGAGAGGCCTAGTATTGTGCCAGCCAAAAAATCCCTGTGGATTCCAAGGATTTAGCAACTGGGGGTCACGGTTGTTCTAATAGTGTTTGGCCTCTCCGAGTTAACCCCAGTTTCCTGTGTAAAGGGGATAATCCCACTTAGTTCACTGAGTTATTGCAAGAATTTAATTAAATAATAGATGTGGCAGCACCCAGAACAGCATCTGATACAAAGTAGGCACTCAATACATCTGATCATAGCGTTTCCTCTGGGAGGAGATGTCAGTGTAAGTATGATGCTGGGGATCCTTACGAAGAGCTCTATTGGTCAGCATCCCATTTCCAAGGGTAGAAATCTTGTCAGTCCTGAGTCTGTGTTAAGTACACCATAAACAGTAGCCATTGTTTCTCTGTGCTGTATTACTATAACCAGCCGCCAAGCAGTAAAGAAGCCTGTTGTTGCAAAGATGGGTATCTCTACTGCTCTGGATGCGCCACTTGTACCAGGCAATAGACGGGTTTTACCATTAGGTGATGCTTCATGTGGCTTAGATGCCGGTCCACTCAAGGTAGTGATGCAAACGGCAGGCCCATCTCCCTACTGCCAACTTTGTCATCCAAAGACAATAGAATTTTTAAACCACGGGTAGAGACTTGAAGTCATGGGTAAGGCAAAGTGCCAAGATACTTACAAGGAAAGTGACCTGCCAGCACTTCACTCTGTTCATCTGGAAAATGATTTCCTGGGTCTGGTTGTCAGGCAGGGTTATGCAGCAGCTGATCTCATTATTGCCAACAGAGAGGATGGCCCCACAGCCTGGTTCTGGGTAGTCACAGGTACATGGATCCAGCTGCAAGTACCCATAGTGCCGTACCTCTTGGGACAGCTCCAGAAACTGCTCCAGGGGTGAAGGTGAGGCAAAAGAAGCAAGAGACTGCTTGAAAAAGGTGACAACCTTATGTCAGAAGCTACTGCCGTTATAGTGGAACACATGGAATTGAGCCACAGTGAAAGCACCTTTTTCTTCTGGATGATACGAACAAAGACAATGTCTTTTTATGCTCCCTGACAATAAGGCCTGGGGAAGTTCATGGTGCATCCTACCAAGGCTGAACCATTTCTGCCTCATTCACCATTGTGTCTCTGCTCCTGTTACAGTGCTTGGTACATAGTGGGAACAAAAATATTCAGTGACTGAATGATGAATGGAGAAGAACAGAGTGAATCAAATGAATGAGTAGATAGGATTCTATCTCAGCAAATTACAACAGCAAAATAAACAAAAAGTTTACACTTAAAATGCTGTTTGGGGGCACCCAGGTGGCTCAGTCTGTTAAACAGCCAACTCTTGGTTTCGGCCCAGGTCATGATCTCAGGGTTCTGGGATCAAGCCCAGCATCAGGTTCTGTGATTAGTGCAGAGTCCGCTTGTCCCTCTCTCTGCTCCTCCCCATTGCTTGCAATCTCTCTTTCTCTCACGCTCTCTCTCTAAGAGAGAGAGAGGGTGAGAGAGAGAGAAAGAAAGAGAGAAAATATTAAATAAATGAATGAATGAATGAATGAATGAATGAAATGCTGAACCTAGCTGACTCTGTCAGTAGAGAATGTGACTCTTGATCTCAGGGTTGTGAGTTCAATCCCTACATTTGATGTCAAGCCTCCTTAAAAAAAAAGGCTATTTAAAAAAAAAAACTAAGCTCAGGTCTATGTAGAAAGAAAGTAGTTAATTTTTACAGTCTGCATTATATGATGATGGTATGAATTGTCCGAGGAAGAGTTTTTGCAAATGGCAATAAAACGAGAAAGTGAGTCTGCTTTCTAAGTAGAGTTAGAGACAGCCAAATAGTGCCAAGGGAACACCTTTATGGAACTTTTAAGGTTTAGCTTTTCCCTCTGCTTTTCTTTCTTTCTTTCTTTCTTTCTTTTTTTTTTTTCTAAGAGAGAGAGAGCCAATGGGGAGGGGCAGAGGGAAAGGGAGAGAAAGAATCTTAAGCAAACTCCACACCCAACACAGAGCCGGACACGGGGCTCAACTGCCTAACCCTGAGATCATGACCTGAACCGGAATCAAGAGTCAGATGCTTAACCGACTGAGCCACCCAGGCGCCCCCTTTCCCTCTGCTTCTGACTTGGCTTAAGAACAGAGGACAGTTGCAGTTCACACCTGTGGTCCAGGCATCCTGTCCTGACAATATCTATCCGGAACTTTTCATTTTTGTAACAAAGCATTACTATTACCCATTGGTTTTTAATAAGCTGATATCAGTTTGGGGACCTCTCCCTGGTTCTTCCAGCTTTCACCATGGTCCTGCCTGATGCTGTGGGAGATAAGCATGAAGAAAAGGGAGTTCTTACTTGAACACATGGTTAAATCAGAGAGATCACTCAGTGACAACCTGGCACTTTCCAGATCCTTTCTTGAAGGAAGGCAAGTCCTTTCAAGGACTATACGAAGCACTCTCTGAGAAAGTGAAATGTGCCCAGACATGAGCAGTGAGGGGCAGCTGACTGTTACTACAAGGCGGGAGAGGTATTTGAGGCTCCTGTCCCTTCCAGACTCACATCATTTGTTGTACCAGCTCATTGTGCTGTGGTTCACGCGTTCAATTTAGGAGATGCGTTAAGCTGCCTGGCCCTCCCTTGGGTCAATGGGAAACCGCAGAAATGACAGGTCCTGAGTTACGCTACTCATGCAGGGGTAGGGGAAGGGCTGAGTAATCTTGCCTTACAGCATACAGAGCAGTTTTAAGCTCTTGCTACAATAGTTTCTTATTTATTATATGCTACAAATCGTTATCTTATTGCTTGGTAACACTTTAAAAAACATTTTGTAATCAACTCTTGGCTGCAATGCTCTCAAAGAGATGGAATGTGTTTAAAAGTTAAGCTCCGGGCACCTGGGTGGCTCAGTTGGTTCAGCGACTGCCTTCAGCTCAGGTCATGATCCTGGAGTCCCAGGATCGAGTCCCACATCGGGCTCCCTGCTTAGCGAGTCTGCTTCTCCCTCTGACCCCCCCTTTTGTGTTCTCTCTCTCTCTCTCATTCTCTCTCTCTCAAATAAATAAATAAAAATCTTTAAAATAAATAAATAAATAAAAATAAAAGTTAAGCTCCATTTCTCTAGAAAGTCAGTAATGAATTATTAACTCGTTCAAAATGCTTGTGGGCATTTGTCATTCAACAATTGGGTGTAGTGATGTTACTGACCATATGCAAACTAAAAGAAATCTGCAAGGATTAGTTGGGTTGTTTTTTTTTTTTTAAAGAAAATTAGTTTTTTAAAGAAGCTTACACCTGAAAAAGATAGATTAACAAGCATAACTACAAAAGGTATGTTCATATATTTTCATTTAGATTGAGGGTTGGCAAACTTTTCAGTAAACAGCCATATAGTAAATATTTTCAGTTTTCTGGGCATATTGTCTCTATTATAACTACCCACCTTAATCATCCTAGCACAAAAAGCAGCCTTAGACAGTATGTAAAAGAATGGCTGTGTGTCAATAAAACTTCATTTACAAAAAGAGTGGTCCATGGGCTGTAGTTAGCCTATCTGTGATTTAGATCAACTAATTGCTCCTTTAAATTAATTTCATCATTTTCTTTCTTTTCCTTTTTTAAATATTTTATTTATTTATTTGAGAGAGAGTATGCGAGTATGAGTGGGGGAGGGGCAGAAGGAGAAGCAGGCTCCCCACTGAGCAGGGAGCCCTATGTGGCGCTCAATGTGGGGCTGGATCCTAGAACCCTGGGACCATGACCTGAGCCGAAGGCAGACACTTAACCAACTGAGCCACCCAGGCGCCTCCAATTTCACTCATTTTCAACTCCAGGTTTTTTTGCACATGGATATAAAGTAAAGCAATAGTTGTTAATGTGCTGAATCTATTAGCAGAAGAACTTTATAAACACTTAGATAATGCTGGTTTTTATGTCAGTATCCTTAGATGCTTCAAGAGAATATCAGTTAATTTGAATCATGGTTCAGTTCTTTTTTTTTTTCCGTCTAATTCATGCACTCAAAGTAAAGTTTTTTAAAGATGACTATTACAAATAGTATGGTAAAATCAGGTAAAACATTCATCATAGAAAATAAAATTTGTTTTATGTCAAAAATACAAATACAAATTTTGGTGGAGTATAGCACATGGTAAAAACAATATTCTTACTAAATTATTAAATTAAAAAGTTTAGGGAGCAGAAATGCACTTAGAATCTGTAATTGTACCCAAAGCAGCTGATGTATCTGATTATATCTAAATATTCCATCCAACAAAATAAGCACTATAACTGAAATTGACCCCCAAAGTTTTCGTGACAAACCTGAGGCAGAATACCAAGGAAGGAAAATATTAAATCATGGCAGTAGATGCTTTTTCCTTTTCTTATCCTGCCCATCAGTAAAATTCTCAAACTATCTGAGCTTTTTAAGAATTACTTTCTATGTCGATGTAGGTATAAATGAGTCCTCTAAATTTTGTTTGCATTTTGTTTAAAATCAATGAGTGAACATTGGCAAAGTGGTGACCACTAGCAAAGTCTAAAGGATAAAGAAGACAACACTATGAAGCAGAGTCCATTTCTTCTGTTAAAATATGCCTTGTTCGTCAGGCTTGTATCACTGCTTGGGGACAGGAGGAATGTGAGTTGGTACAGTCTTTATGGAACTTTAAAAATGGACTTTTAGAAATATATTCTAAGAAATAATAGAATATGTACGCAAAGACAGGATGCTGCCTGCAGTATTCAGAGACCTTCAGCCAGAAACCGTTCCAGGTGTTGGGAATTTACAGGGTATGTGTAAATTAGATACAGTCCTGGGCCTCATGGTGCTCACTGCCAAAGTGATTTATAGCAGCAAAAATGAAACCACCAGATTTCCAATAATAAGACATTGGTTAGCTAAATGATAACTATAAAACAGGATACTCTGTGGTCATTAAAAAAAAATGCTGAGGATCTATATTAAGTGGGCAAAGGGGTCACCACAATCTATTGTATTTTTCAGAATCTTTAAATAATATAATCAGAAAAATTAATGATGGTATTTTCATTTTTTAAAAGAACCCAATTTTTAGTGGTTGATGGGTTTATAAATTAAGAAACAGCTCAATTCTAATATGTTTCTTTAACTTCCCTCCAAGGGATTTCTCTTGGTGCAATATCTGATTTACCTTGGTTTGGTTGTGTTCTTTCTGCAGAGCCTCTAATTTCTGCCTCTGCGTCTGTGTGGGTTTGGCCCATTCTTTTTCAAAGTCCTGAACTGCCTTAAAACAACAGAGGTTGTAGGATTAGCAACCTTAGCAGAAATGAATTAATCTGGCAAAAACACACTCATGTATGAAAGGCTATAGAAACAGACCCAAGTGGACATATATAAGGAGTTAGCATGTTATAAAGGTTACTTTTTAAATTAGTGGGTGTAGGAAGAGATCGTCCAATGGTTTGGGGACAACTGGCCACACTTGGGAGAGAAAATACAGTTAGCTCTGTCCCCATGCCACCCAATCAAATAAATCCAGATAAAGGTTTAGCTGTTTCAAAAAAAAAAAAAGATTCAGAAAAAAAATTCTGATCTTGAGGTAAGGAATAATATTTTTAAATATAAAGGAATATATAATTCATGAAAATATAAAACTTCTGTACATAAAAACCATCAAGAACAAAACTAAGAAGTAAATGGCAAACCAGAGAAAATGACTGCATCATATATGGGGAAAAAGTTGGTATTATTCATGTAAAGTAATAGGGAAAATGTCAACAAGGAATATGTATCAGCAATCAACAAAAAGGAATTCCAAATTACAATCTATATTTAACCTCACCAGTAATCAGTTTGTTTTTTTTTTTTTTGCCTCTCAACTTGGCAAAGACTAAAATATATGTAATATTCAGGGCTAGCAAGGGTTTAGGGCAACAGGAAGTTCCATATAGAACTGATGGGATTTAAACTGGTACGATTAGCCTGTGCTGTTTTTATTTATCATGATTTAAAAGAAGTTTTCCATTGGTCTTCAGTTAGCCTGTTAACCCCTCAAGGAAAACCTTGAGTCCTTCACTTCAGTGTATCTTGTCCAAGGTCTTACACACAGCCAACACTCAACAATTCTTTGCCAATTGTCAGGCACTTATTTACACCCTAATCTGAATGTAAGCTTACGTGTTCCATCCCTCAGTGTTATTGGTTATGCTTTATCCCCAAACAGAGAATGAAGAGCTGAATAAAGTTTTGATTTAGCTATTTAGATTGGGGGAAAAGGAGATGGGTTTAGAGAGGAGAAGAAAAATAATTAGTATTTGTTGAGAACCTGTTGTAGATAGGTTTTCTTACTGACTGTTCCCAAATTATTCTGTGGGGTAGGAACAGCCCCCCATCTTACAAATGGGTAAACTGAGGTCCAGAGAGGTTATGGCTTTTGAGATAACCTGGGAAGTAAGTGGCAAGAGTTGGGTTAAAATCCTGATTTGGCCACTGCACCAAGCCCTTGCCCAAGCCACTGAATTCTGAGCATGTAGGCACCTACCCTCCCCAAGACCTTCTCAGGGTCACCAACTATTCTCAAAACTGAACCTAGACACCATGCCTGAATGGAATCAATGTGGGTGTGAAGAACGGAACACCTTTTTCTTTCCTGAATTGTACTTGGTGGCAGAGTCCTGTAAGGGCTGTTATCACAGGGCAGGGATATCAAAGAGAAAGCGTGGCTAAAGAAAGAAGGTGAACAGCAATCACGACAGTAAAGACTCACTGAAGATATGTCATTCAGCATTAGGGGACCTGGGACTCTCAGACACAGAGATTTAAATGCCCTACATCAGCAGGAACGGACTGCTTTTGTTTCACTACCTTTGAAAAGATTTGACCCTGATTATGGGCTCACGAGTCATCAAATACATGACATACAGGACCTCATTCTAACAATGAGAGAGTCAAGTTTAGACAGATGGCTCTGCTCAGTTCTCTGGCCCCAAAGACTGGCTGCTGGAGACTGATGTAGAAACTAATTTTTTAAAATCAAGTGCAATCACCTAAGCCATGGGTTTCATGAGCTTCAAACACACATATCTCGTATCCCCTGCAGAGGGTACAGCAGTGAGGAACATAAAGAAAGGCATCAGCCACTCAGCTTCCGCTGGTGGAGGCACGGCAGAGCAAGGCCGGGCCTGTGCAGGTAGGCCAGGCTCTGCACAAAGGGCACCGGGCCATGGGGCTCTGGGGAAGCTAACGGTCAACCCATGCTCCCTTCCCCGCGCCACGGGCCCTGACACAGGGTTAGGCCGGCCTGGAGGAAGAGACCCCTTGTTCTAATTTGTACAAAGTTAACCATACTGGCCAGTGGTGCTGAAATGCAGGCCCAGAACTGACCAAGCCTCAATATTTTTGAGAAAACCCAGAAAATTTATAGTTTTATATACAATCTTCCATTCTGTTAATGTTACTCGAATTTTTTTTAAAGATTTATTTATTTATTTATTTGAGAGAGCGAGAATGAGAGAAAGAGAGGGTACATGAGGTGGGGGAGGGTTAGAGGGAGAAGCAGGCTCCTCGCCGAGCAGGGAGCCCAATGCGGGACTTGATCCTGGGACTCCAGGATCATGACCTGAGCCGAAGGCAGTCGCTTAACCAACTGAGCCACCCAGGCGCCGTGTTACTCAAATTTTAAAAAAGAAAAAGAAAGGGAACATGTGGGAGTCCACTTGGCTCCTAGGACGTCATGGGGCACACCTGCTTTAGGAAAATCAAAAGGGTATCCCTTAATAGTTAATTATGATGGCACCGTTATTTATCGGAAGAACTCCAAAGAACTTTCTGCATTAATTATTTAAAAGGATGATTGCTTCTCATACCTTCACACATCCTAAGCTTCCAGGACAGTCTCTGCCCTGGGCCATTCAGAGTCTAGTTAGGCAAATAGGTATATAAGAGGTATTTACAAGGTTGGGTGAGAAGCACCATAATGGAGGGTATAAACAAAATACCACAGGAGTGGAGAGGGAGGGAGGCATTTTCTTTCGAGGGGAGCTGAGAAGAGTTTCACCAAAAGAGACCACAATGGTGGTCATGACTTCCTGGGGCTGACTTCTTGGTAACTCTGCATGGACTCAGTGAACAGTGAGAATACTGATGATAATGGCACAGATGATTATAATGTCAGCTACAATCTTTTGAAGACTTTGCCAAGCAAAGAGCTATAGTTTGAATACCAGTCTATTCAGGTGGAGAGAGAATTTAGAAACTGTTCATTCAATCTCATCGCTCAACAGGGGGATGTTGTAGTGCCAGGTTCAGGAGGAAGTGGCGGGCCCCAGATCACACGGAGAGACAGCCTGCCGCAGAGCAAGGGACAGAACGCATCTTCGAAACTGAATTCAGTGTGCTTTCTGTAAAGCCATTTTTTTTTTTCCAGCTATAAGCAGAGGAAATACGGTTCATTTCTCTCTGGTTTACAACTCCTTGATGAAGACAGATAAAATTCCTATGATGATGCTGGCAGGTCCTACTTCTCACCACAACGTATCCTGGAAACCAGGCCAGAAAGACTCTGTTTCCCACCAGAACAATAGTAGAATTGGGTGATGCATTCTCCCCAAGGACGTGGTATCAAATAGACCAGGCACAACCAATAACATGCTATAATAGCAGGGGTAGAACAGCAATGAGCCTCAGTAAGCATTTAAAACGGCAAGTTATGTTCCAACTCACGCAACGTGGGTTTAATTAAAGTATAAGAAATGAACTCAAAACTATATTCTAGCCATTAAACTATGACAGTGAACATTAAACATTTAATAAGTGATATTTTGATTTGCCTCCTCAGAATTTAGAAGAGCTTTGTGAAGATGATTTATTAAATTGCCTTGGTCTCTTAAAAAGTCACAGAAGAGAGGTGTCTGGGTGGCTCAGTCAGTTAAGCGTCTGACTCTTGGTTTCAGCTCAGGTCATGATCCCAGGGTCCTGGGATCGAGCCCCGCATCGGGCTCCCTGCTCAGTGGAGAGTCTGCTTCTTCCCTCTTCTCTCTTCCCTGCTCACTATCTCTGTCTCTCTCTCCCAAATAAATAAATAAAATCTGGAAAAAAAAAGTCACATAAGAAGGAGTGGGCATTAGGGCTGTGACCCCTTATAGACATTCTGGCCACTGGGCTCCATGTGTCTGCTCAGTCCAAGTGCTGCACCCAGCGTTGGAAAAGCCAAGGTCCCTGCATGGGGCTGGTAGTCTAGTGGGGAAAATACAGATGTCAGTGATGCTCTACTTGGTCAAACTGAAGATAACATGGATTCTGGTACCATGATTTTGTGAGACACTAAGTAAAAACACTGCCAGTGAAACGGCGGCACAGTGCCCTATGACTTTGGTGCATGGTGCGTGAACCCGCCATGCCCACCTTCCCCAGCTGGTAATTACTGTTAGTTCTTCTGAGGCATTTGGTGATTTCTCCTGCCTTCGGCTGCCCTGCTTGGCCTGTGCCAGGCAGTTCTTTTGCATACAGCTTAGTAAAACACCGAGCAGTTTCCCTCTCTCTGGGTGCATAAGCAACTGCTGGTTGCTTTAGAAGATAATATGAAAGTGTGGTCATTTCTTCAAAGATGAGCCTTTGCTTTATGAATATAAAAGGGAATTCTGCCACTGTCTTTGCCTTTTTAAAAAGATTTTATTTATTTATTTATTTATTTATTTATTTATTTATTTATTTATTTAGAATGAGAGTGAGCGAGGGGAGGGGCAGAGAGACAGAGAGTCTCCAGCAGACTCCCTGTTGAGCATGGAGCTGATGTGGGGTCGATCTCATAACCCTGAGATATGACCTGAGCAGAAACCAAGAGTCTGGACGCTTAATTGACTGAGCCACCAGGTACCCAGTCTTTGCCTTTCTCTGTAAGTGATAACTCCAATTCCATGGAGAAACATCGTGTATGTAGCAACAGGGGGCTGGTGAGGCAGGAGAACAGAGGGGGGTTGGGGGGTAACTGGAGACGTATCACAGAGGCAGCATCCACTGACCGTCCCACTGCTCAGTAGAACCTTCACCACCGAGTCCGGGAAAGGAGCAGAGCCAAACTCTAAATGTACTTTCTGGGGCTTAGGGCACCGGGGTAGGCAGCACCAACACCATAATTTGCAGGACCTAATGCAAAATGAAAATGTGGGGTCTGTTGTTCCAAAATTAAGGATTTCAAGATGGCGACAGCAGCATCTTAAACAAGTGTGGGGCCCATCTGAGCTTGGGTCCCAGTGCTGTTTCACAGGCTACACACCCCTGAAGCGGGCCCTGCGGGCAGGTACGCTGCTTGTCAGCTCAGGGAAAAAGAAGATGATGCTAAAATGAGATTTAGGGACCACATGTAGCTTTAGATTATGAGGGACATCATTTCTAAGCTCATGGAAATTGGCCCAGATGATGGAGTGTTGGCTAGAAAACTCAGAGAGATTGTTAAAATGGAGGTAGAACTTTCTTTCTAAATTCTGCTTCTTTTAAATTTTTTTTTACTGTGGTAAAATACATATAATATTTATCATTTTAACCATTTTTTAAAAGGTTTATTTATTTTAGAGAGAAAGAGGGGGGGCACACGTGTGAGCAGGGGGAGAGGCCGAAGGAGAAGCAGGCTCTCAGCTGAGCAGGGAGCCCAACTCGAGACTCCAACCCAGGACCCTGGGATCATGAACTGAGCCGAAGGCAGACGCTTAACTGACTGAGCCACCCAGGCGCCCCACTTCTTAACCATTTTTAAGTGTACAATTCAGTGGCACTAAAAACATTCATAATGTCATGTAACTATTTACACTCTCTTATACCTATTTTTTTTTAGCATCCCTAGCAAAAATTCTGTACCCATTAAACAATAACTCCCTGCCCCCTAGCCCCTAATGACTTCTATTGTACTTTCTGTCTCTGTGACTCTCCCTCTTCTAGCTATGGAGGTAGAATTCTTAGCTATTACAAATTTTTTCTAATGGTTTCAATCTCAAATGGTCAAGAACATCTGATGTTTTGAGAGTCCTCGGTCACCCTCACCTGCATATAGATCAAATCTACCGCTGCTAGGCAGTCCATCAGCACGGAGTCCAGGGATGGGTCCATGTACCTGTGTGATTCAGGAGCATTAAGTTCATTTATATGACACGGCTGGTGGGTACACCTGGGAGAAAGTGCTCTCTGAAGTGGTGGCCCCCTACACTTTAAACTGAGCTCCCCCCCTTCCTAACACCCGTCTCCTCGCCTAACTTTCGGTTTGTCCCTCCACCTCTCTGTCTCCTACTTTCTTTACACTGTAAGCTCTTGCCTGGTGGACTCTGAGAGTCAAGATGCCAAACAATAAAGCTGACGGAAAATGGTCCACAGCCCCTTTCACACTCAGCCCCACTGTCAGTCCCCAGTGTGGATGCCCTCTCCCCACCCCACAGTACCTGGTGTCTTCATCAGCCCCGTACCCACATCTGTATCACTGCCCTGTACCCAGGCCACCCCCGTCTCCCCCCCGAGCTGCTTTCTTTGTCAGGCCATCTGCCTCAGCCTCGGCCCCCTCAGTCTCAGGTTCTGCATTCGAAGCTGAGTGCTCTTTCCTGAGTGATCTTTGGACTCTCATAGTCCCAGGAGTTAGATCACTCATCCTGCTCCCTTCCATGGTACCCGTCATGGGACACCTGGCTTTCATTTTGAGCTCCATCTATGACCCACCTCCCTCCCTCGCACTCTACATTCCAACCATGTGTTCTCTCCTCTGCTTGGAAGACCACCGCCCTCCCCAGCCTCCATCCCTGACTTATCTGCCTCCCCTGGCATCCTCTGGTCCCCACTCCCCAAGGCTTCAACTCCATCCTCTGTGCTTCCTTAGCACTCTGAATTCGTCCTGATCACTGCTCTCCTCAAGTTGATCTTGATACCAGGTATGTCGGGGCTGCATCCTATTTGGAGTTGCCCCTCTGGACCTTCGCAAAGTGACTTGCAAATGGCAGGGCTCCATGTCTGTCTAACGGATCCAGGATCACCAGGATAAACTGAAATCATAGCTCCTGTATAAGCACAGGAGCTGCTGAGAATGGACGGAAACGGTCAGGAAACGATCCACTGCAGCTGGTCTAAACCAATCTGAAGGCAGACGTAAGTAGAGTCACTGCACTTAGAAGTGAATGGTTAACAGACCAATGGGATTGGCATACGTTAGGAAGGGATGAAAATGTGACTTGAAGATCACCTTCTTCCTGGGGGAGAAGCAACGGAAGCACTCCGTGATATTCTATTTAGCCAATGTGCATGCTGCACATACACCCTATTCTCCATGGCAGAGAATAGCAACTGTTACATCAGAGCTAGACAGTCCCCAGACCCATCCCACGCTGGGGCTCTGAGAGGCCAGGGTGGGCTCCCTCCGGTCTGGAAGGAACCATATCATAATTGGAGAGATGCACCAGAGAATTCACAGACAGAGAAAAATCCCCCAAATGCTGGCTAGGCTTCATTGTGATGTTTCACATGCTGGGAATCCCACAGCTCAGGGCAGCTAAGCTAGCCTCCCTGCTCCCACTCAGTTAGACTTTTCCTAAAAAGAGGACAAGTCACCTTCAGGATCCTACCCCAGGCTCTCCCCGTCGGGTGACTTGACCCTCAGCTCTAACAACTGGAGTGGGACCTCCTTTCTTCACAGTTCCCCTAAGCAAAGGCAACCTGCCTGGATCCGAGACGCTGACAAGTGAATGACATTTTCTCTTGCACTGATGATCTAGAATATACCTCTTTAATGAAGACATAGGCTAAGCCCAATTTCCAATTAAGGCTTCAAGGTGAGGGACAGAATCCTCATGTCTTCTGTGATGTCAAGTTCTCTGGAGAGCCCATGAGCAAAACAGTATAAGCCCCAGGGATTTCTGTTGTTATTATTACTATTATCATTATTATCCTCAGTATAACAGTAACAAACAAGACCAAAATTTGCTGAGCATGTGGAATTATTTTATTTAACCCTCATATTAATTGTTTGAGGTAGACTCTTATTATTATTCCCATTTTACAGATAAAGAAACTGAGGCTTAGTGAGCTTGAGTAACTTGGCTAAGGTTATTCAGCTAAATCCTGAGAAGGCTGGGATTTAGATTCACATACTCTGATCCCAGGAACAATCATGCTCAGCCACTTGTTATACTAAGCAGCTTCCAGAAACACTTAGATGGAACTGCTCAGGGTTTTTTCCTTTTCCCCTTCTCAGGGTTCCATGCCACAGATTTTGAGTTTCTCAGAATACTTTTGAATAGCAGTATATGAACTTTTAGCCTTGCCCAGAATATCCTTCCGAAATTCAAAACCACAGACTGGAGCTCTAAGCAAGGCATCACGAGGTCAAGATACCTACTATTCCTAGATTACAAAATGCCTTTCTATAAAACTTCTGTGCTCAGATTACAGAATAGCTGGGCCGGGAGAGAAGGAACCAAAGAAGCCATCCAATACAGCCATGGTAATAAACACTGCGAACTACAGGTTATGGGATATATGTGGGGTGCTTCCTATTTTTTTAAAAGATTTATTTATTTGAGAGAGAGCAAGAGAGAGAATGGGAGGAGGGGCAGAGGGAAAGAATCTCAAGCAGACTCCCTACTGACTATGGAGCCTGACGTGGGGCTCTATCTCACAACCCTGAGATCCATGACCTGAGCCAAAATCAAGAGTCAGATGTTCAACCTACTCAGCCACCCAGGCGCCCCAGGGTGCTTCTTGTTATTTTCTGCTTGTTAGCTCTCCGTAGGGCTTCTTGTTTCTGGGGGAAAGGGTAGTATTTTCTGCAAGGTGTTCAATCAACCTAGGAGTATGGCTGGCCCTAGTTTATATGCATTTATTGTTGGAATCCTTCAGGAATGTAAGCTGAATACTTAAGAGTTCAAATTCACTGCAAGTTGGCTGAGTCCACTCTCGGCCTTTAGGGAATACCACACAGTTCAACAGATGAACTGCACCTGCTTGTAATCATCAACAAATTTCGTCAATTAATACAGTTGATAACCCATTCCAAAGCAAGCCCACAACCTGCAGTTTCTCATCATTCCTGCTTCGATCCCCACCCCAACAGCACTTGCTTTTCAAGCCTTGCCTCCATGGCCACCATCTTCATGACAATATCCCTCAAGTACTTACTGGAGACCAGTGAAAGTCATCCTCAACATCCTACTGTTTAGGACAAACATTCTGGTTCATTCTCTACTCTCTCTTCTTTATTGCTCTCCTCTCAACTGTCTCCAAGTTCCTGGTCCCTCTCTAGCTGTTAGGTTGTGGGCAGACAGGGTGAGACCACCAAATTCTCAGCAGGAATCTGGAACATCCTCAAATACCTACCATCACCATAAATGCTTACCACTTCCTGAGTCCGACCTTGCAGTTTTCCACTTCAGCGCTTCGAAGACTCACATAAGGGAGTTCAAAGTCCACCAATTTTTTCACGACTAGAGAAAGGGGAAAAAGAGTCTTACTGGTTGAAACAGCACATAGAGTTCACATACCGAGGCTTTGAAATGAGAAAATAAAGCGTTACCATTTGAAAGAATAAAATCACAACAATAATATTCCCTTGCATTTGTGCACCGTTTTTAACTTTCTGAAATTCCTTCAAAAGATGAATAGCATTTGATCCTCATAAAATATCAACACCTTTAGTAGGGGATATTTTACCCTGTGATACTGAAGAAGAACCTGAGGTCCAGAGAGGTCTGGTGCCTTCGCCAGCACACCGCGGATCTCAGTGGCCAAGCCGCCACACAAACCCCTTAACATCCAACTCAAGACCACCTCTCTGCAGCTTCTTGAGAACATATGTAAACTGCCTTCAGATAACCGATACCATTTCACAAGTAAATAACTTGTAATGTCTTAGACATACACTGTAGAGAAATGCAAAAGTGATGTGAATCATACCGTTCTCTTTCACTACCTCATTACGTGTGTTTTAAGAATCTGAGAACTTATTTATAGCATCCACATTTTATAGCCAACATTCCTTAACAAGGAGAAGTGATGGTGTGATGAGATGTCCTGACACCTGGAGTCTAACACTCCATTTTTGAGGGGGTTGTGCGACGGCTGGTGGTCAGCGGCTAGGGTGCAAGGGTCAAGGTGAGACGGACATTAGGCCTGGGGCTGGGGCAAGCACAAGACCAAGTGCAGTTGCTGGAAGGACCTGACGTCTTGCTACTGCCCATGCCATCTCTCTGGGGAGTTGCTCATCCCCAGCTCACCCTGAACACAGACACAACTTCTCATCCCCCCCCCCCCCCAACTTTTGATCCAGGGGCTGAGAGCAGTGGTAAGGCCCATACGCCGCCCCGCCCTTGGCTGTATCTTCTGCATCCTGTGGGCTGAGTGCCCGCCCACACCGGCCCTCCCCGGCTCCTGGCTGCCCTGCGTTCCTTCTCTCCTTACCAGAGAGTTTGCCCTCTTTGCAAAACCGAATGAGAAAGAGGCCGAAGTAGCCCAGGAGCTCCTGACACAGTCCCATTCTGTGCGACACCACCTTTAACCAAAGACAAGAAAAGTTAGGAGTGTCCACCAAGCTTACGGTGATGTGCAGGATTTGAAGTTGCCTGTAAACGTCGATAAGAGGGGGCTTTAAGGGGCTGCCAACATTAAAAGGAATCTTTTCTGAATCTAAAACTTTAATACTAATTTTAGAAAATTTAGAAATTAAAAACATAGAGTAAAGAAAATAAAAATCAGCCCCAACACAACGGACATGAACTGGCCTCTGCCAAGGCTTGTTGTTCCATCTTGGATGCAGATGTGTCTCCCAGAGGATTTGGTCTTTACAGCCCACTGGAGGTCAGCAGCCATTCTCCATGTCTGTCTGTCCTTCTGCGACATCTGCTGCTTGGGCCCCCACACCAGATCACCTTCCTATGGGCTGGCTTATCCAACACTGGGAGAAGGGACGTGCCCCGCCCCTTGGCTGGCAGGTGAAAGTGCTCAAGCTACCGGCGGTCTTTGACCCCTGGGCCTGCCTCTGTCTGATGTCTCCTGTGATGGTCAAGTCTAATTTGCATGGCATTTGCTCAGTGAAACCTCAGATCCCAGGCACAGGCTGCTCTCATTTCATGTTCCTCTCTGGCCTTTCCGTCAAATGGCTTCCATTCCAATGGTTTCATTTTTCCCAGTGGGTCATGAGGCTGGAACCTCATCATGTCTTACAGTAACTCACCTTCCCTTAGCGGGAATGTCCATGTTACCACAGACTCTCCCCTTCTTCACCCACTTAGACCCTCCCTCTTGAAGCCCGGGCTCCAGAGTGATTTCTTTGCTTGCACACCCTGAATTCACTAGATCACCTCTGTGACACCCGAGGCTTCACCTTTCCTGCCGTGTGTGTGAGCTGATGCTTTAACCATGGCTCCAAGTTCTCAAGGTGGCAAATACGAGGCTCAACGGGGTACTTTTGTCAGAGATCTGTAAATTACCTCATGAGACAGTCCTATTAGGTGGATGATACGAGTGGGTGTTCTCGGCATAGCTTTGAAAATAAAGAAGAGCCTGGGGTCTTTTCACACGTTCACTCAAGGCTTGTCCCCACTAACCTTTCTACCTCACCCACCCCCATGCCCGTGCAAAACTTCCAAACCAAAGCCCGGTGTTCCTGTGTGCGCAGCGGTGAGGGTGTGCTGGGATGCAACAGATTGCAAAGACATCTTTTCCCAGAGTGTGATCCATGTCCATTCAGATTGGATTTCTCTCTTCTCTGACTTGCTCAGTGAACATAGCAAGCTTAAGTGCCAGGGCAGATAAAGGAGTTGGGGGGGGTGGGGATGGAGAAGCCTTTTATAATTTATAAAAACATAAACACACATACCTTCTTTTGAGAGGAGTAAGCATCGACAAAAAGAGACACAGTAATATTTTCTTCTTAGCAAATGTTAAGGATACTTCAAAATACAACCACCACCAATAAAACCGCATTAGTGCAAATGAGTTAAAAACCAAAACGAGATTTTAGCTTGTTGTTGGTTCTTTAAGGAGCCCAGCAGGATGGCAGTGAGGTGGAGAGTGGGGGCGAGTATGCTTGAGGAGATATAAACAATGATTTTCAATTATAAAATTTAAATTACATTTTTATGCAAGCTGGAGAAGTTCCCAGCCCCTGGAAGAGAATTCACCTGTCTGCCTGGCCAACTGCTCACTTTACTTTTTATAGAAACGCCACCACTTCGAGGCCAGAACCTCCGGGTAAACTTACCTGATGTTAATGATGTCAGTGTCAGCGGTTTGAATTTCTCACAAGTCGGTGTGATTAGAAGAGGGAAAGTATATTTTTCTGAGATCACAAACGCACCTCGTTAAACTTTGCTATTAGTTACAAGGGGACCCGGGTAAAATAGATGATGGTATTGTGGAACCCTAGACTTATTACTCTACTCAATACTGACTCAACACTCTCTTTGACATCAATAATAATACCATAATGAGAAATAACCATAACCACCGCTGTTGATGGAACATGAGCTATTTCTGTAATTATTTAGACACTGTCTTGAAAGGTTAAGCAACTTATCCAAACTCACAGAGCTTGTGACGTGGCAGTGCTGCCATCTGAATTCAGCTCTTGCCCTAACCCCAGCAGAGAGGAGACCCCAGACTCCCACCGGGCAGCCAACTTCAGCTGCAGATATGTCTAATCAGGCCAGTGAGCCCAGTATGCAAAAAGTAGGTCAATAAGGATGCTGTCAGGCAGGGCAGGGGCTCTCCAGTTCCCCACGGGCCCCACCACTCCCAAATTATCTCACGTCCCTCATCTGCACCCCTGCGTTACGGGCCTGGCCCTGGAGGTGTCCGTGGTCGCGGCCTCCGCCCTCCTATTACTGTCCCCCGCCCTCACTGATGTGTCAGTCTCTCACTGTGCAGGTCCCACGAGGGCAATTTAGGGAACAGTGTTTTTGTATTTGAGAGGTTTGGTTTTTTGGGTTTTTTTGTATAAATCCCCTCAGGCATTAAGTGTCTTTTTAGAAAGGTCATTCTGGAGGTCAGTATTGAAGATGGGCAATGCTGGAAGCAGGGATTGGTTTTGGGGCTGCTATAGAAATCTAGCTGAGACATGAGGACTCAAACTAAGGGTGTGAGGACGGAGAGGAGGAAATGAGAAGAAGGGAATTATTAGGAGAGAGACTTGGGACACAAGGTCAGTAGGATTCGGGGGGTTGGGGGTGGCGAATGAGGGGGGGCCCTAGGGTAACTTCTCAATGGATAGCCTTGGCGGTGAGGTGGCCGCTGAACCCGTTCAACCAGGACAGCTGTACAGGAGCCAAGAAAAGGTTGTGTGCAGTGACTTTCATAGGAAGGAAGGTCCAAAATGATCACTCTTGGACAGAGCCAAGACCCTAGAGAAGGGAGATTTCCTAGTCTGGGGACAAAACCGCTCTTTGGAGACCAGGAGGGCATGGACCAACTTGAATCTCCAGGCTAGAACAAGGAGCCATGATGTAGGGAGAGGCTGTCCACCCACCCCACGGTTTCAGGTGAAGGTGGGCTCGCGGGCTGGGAACGCAACAGGGAGGGCTTGTTTCCTGCCCAGAAGGTGTCAGGTACCATGTCCCCAGCACAAGAACGTTCTGTCCTTGGGAAGGCCGTAGAAACTTTCTGACACCCACCTGTTTATAACTTTATATTTTCCCTCACATACTTCTCTGGAGGATTAGAACTAAAACCCTCCAAAGGAAAAGGACCTGGGAACAGTGTGTGGGTGTGAGAAGCTGGTGTCCCCTTGATGCCCAGGGGAGGGAGAAAAGGCCCTGGGGACAGAGCTGGTAACAGCCGCCGTCTAAAGACAGGGAGGATAGTCTCTGGGTCTTGTCCTCAGACTCTTCACAGAACCAGCTAGAATTCAGGTCTGGCCCTCTGGAGCCAGAGTTCGACCTGCTGGCATGTTAGCTTCAGGGGTTTTCCCTGTGGGGGAGGAGGGACAACTCTTAGCCTTTAAGAGTTCCTTTGTCACTCTGACAGAACCTGTCACCAGCCTACCCTGGGTACGGCCTGTTTCAGACTCATCTGGACTCCACTCCCTTTCCTGCTCCCAACTATGAGGCATCCCATAATAAAGCACTTGGCATATTTCCAGGGCACATCCTTGGCTGAATCCCAGGTGATGGACAGCAGCCTTAGGAAGGGCCTAAAAGATGTCTGGGAAGTTGATGTCCACCAGGAGAGTGGACTGGCTGCAGCTCAGATTCCTTGGTCCATCTTCCAGAAAATCCCCGCATCTCAACAGATGTGTCATCCAGAGTAAAATGATAAGGAGGAAGCTTCTGGAAGGTAACTTATCCTAGTTCCTGCCTTCAAACAGAATGATTCCTAAATTTGGTTCTGGAGTTTAGACAGAGTTTACCTCTAGGACTCTTTCAGCAGTATCTGATGTTAGAATTTCGACTGGAATATTCCTTCCATCTGGCAGAAATATATCCAGAGAGGCTGTCTTGGTGGTGATGTTAAATGTGTCCTGCAAGCAAAGGAAAAGTCCAGTGAGCCCCACAGTCCCTTCCATGGGGCATCCGGAGCGGGAACAGTCAGTCGTCTCCCTGGGCCCTCGGGGCATACGGTATCCAGAAACACACAGAGCTGACTACAGAGATTTGGGGGATGTTGTCTTGAGGGGCAGGGTGGGGTAAGGAGGTGTGTGGAGAAGCCAAGACAAAGCAATGACATGCAGCTTGAATAATTTCCAAATAAACAATAAGGCATCTATTTTAGGGGGAAAAAAAAACAACAACCTATCCATGTGACCCTGGGGCATCTCAAATTTTAATTCTCATTTTGAATATTTCCAGGCATCCCTAAAAGTCCATAATCTGCAATAATTTATGATTCTGCTATAGCAAAAATCTGAAGTGTGCAAACCATGAGGCCGGAATGAGGAAGCATGTCACTCTCTTGTGAGTAAGTGTCCAGCTGAGGACCAGCACCCCAGCTCAGTCCTGCTTTGCTTGCACTTATGCATTCTGCAAGGGGATGTGTGTGCCCTAGAGGAGACCGCAAATCTGGGGGCATGTGAAGTTCTTGGATGGAATGTTCTAAAATGTGAAGGACATGCTAGAGACACTGGGAAGGCCTTCAGAGTTTGGGAAAGTGTAAAGATGAAATTGGTGCTCAGTGACCACAGAGAGAGGGACCCCAGGAGGAAGCATGGCCAGTGGCTGCCCAGCTGAGTCCCACAGGGCAGCTGCGTCTGGGGGAAGGCTGTTTTTAGCACCTCCCAAGTGGGATGCTGTCAGTCCACAGGGCTGCCGTCAGTCCACAGGGCTGCCTCATCTCTGAGGCTGATTCAGGTCGCAGCCTTTCTGTTCCCATGTTCTACGACAGGATTAAACCCTAATGCACCAAAGCATCTACTGTACACAATGAGTTTGCTTCTCTCTTAGGCATTTAGAACGCCAGTGGGTATGTATCATCCTGGACAGAACTGAGAAAAGAGTCACTCAAATCACTGTCTATGTTCTAAGCCTACCGTATAAGCTAGAATATTAATAATACAGGGGTGCCTAGACAATGTGCACCCAGCCCAGGTTACTGCCTTCCTGGTATCAGGCTGGGCGAGAGAAGAACCAAAGGGCCAATCCTAAGATGGTGTGGAGATCACAGAGTTGGGCTCAGGTGAGCTGACCAACTGGGACCTTTCCCCTCAACAGGCAACACCTCCCCTTTCCTCACCCCCACCACATTCACAGATACAACAGATCAGGTTTCGTAGGGAACTGAGGGACTCCAACAACTCAGTTGCATTGTCCAGGTACCTCAAAAGGCCGATCACATTACTGACAGGCTTATTTTTCCGAATTTTATTATCAAAGGGCAACGTTTGACTTTAAATTTTAACTGCCCCCTCCCCACCATGTACGTACAATTACTATGGGTTTCTATGGGTTCCCCCAAAATAATTGTTGTAAATAGTCCCTTTCTAGGCCCATCTTTGCCTAGATGTTGGTTCTTCAAGTTTTGGGGCCTATCATCACAGAGATCTCTTACCTCAGGGGAAAAACACTCAAAATGAACGAAAAGAATGCCATTACTTTTTGGTCAGATTCTAAAGAAAAGCCTAGCATTAATTTATATTACTTCAGTGTAACTTTGAACTCAAACTAAATTGCAGACTGGTAAGATAGCTAAATTACATGAACAGCTAAAATGATATAAATACATACCTTTATTAAATTCTTCTGCAAAAGCGAGAAAGCAGGTTGGATTGGCAGAGTGGGTCAGATTATAGAGGGCCCTGGAATCAGACACTTGAAGATTTTATTAAAAAGCCAAAAGGAAGCAGAAGGATGGAAACAGCGTTACAGAAAGATCTGTCTGGTAGTGTGGCGAAAATGGGTGGGAAGAGAGGGTGGGGTGGGGGGGAGGGGGTAGAACTCAGAGCTTAGCTGCAACAATCCCCTTGGAGGTACCAAGGGGCTGGGCTGAACCATGTGAGGAAAAGTGTTCCAAGGCCAGCTCCTGCACTCACCACACAGGACCTTGTGCAAACCTGGAGAGGTTACTTGTCCCCCGTATTCCTCATTCCTTCAGCTCTAAAATAAGGATGGTAGAGCTGTGGACAAGATTTAAGGAAGCAACGCGTGGAACTTGAAACGGTACTCGCTGCAAACACCCAACTGGTGGTTATATTGTTTTGTTATTGTTAGCACGAGGAATGAGGAGGAAGTTATGTCCCTTGGATTAGAACGAGTGCCAACAGATAAGAAATAAAGGATTCAAGAGAAGATTCAGGAAGATATTTTTAACATTCATATCCAATCAAGTTCTGAGTTGTGCATATTTTACATCTTACACTATTATCTCTTGAATCCATCCACTTTTCATCTCCACCACCAGGACCTTAGACCCAACTGACATCTCCTCTCCCTAGACTCCTTCCTGCAATGGCCTCCTGGTTTCCATTCTTACCCCACTACAGAGCACTCTCCACATAGCAGACACTTGAGGATTTACCAGCGCTGGCCTTATCATTGCTCACAGGATGCTATAAGGAAAAACACGGGTTTTCTCCACTCACACCACTTCCGACACTATTTATCTGGAGTGAGCACAGACCCCACAGGTTAAGGGTTCAGTCCCACAAGATGGCCCCTCCCCAATTTCAGATGCCAATCACAAGTCCAGGCCTCCCACACTTCTGAACAACCAGCTAGAAATCAGGGGTTCCCACGACACCCTCCTCAAGATTGGTAATTTTCTAGAATGGCTCACGGAACTCAGGAAAGCTCTTTTTACCTACCATAACCTGCTTATTATGGACACAACCCAGAAACAGCCAAATGGAAAAGATGCATTAGGGCAAGGCATGTGGAAAGGGGCACAGAGCTTCCATACCCTCTCCGGGCACACCACCCTGCCACTGTCTTGGCATGTTCACCAACTCCAAAGTTCTTTGAACCCCACAGTGTGGGGATTTTAATGGAGGTTTTATCACACAGGTATGTGACAAACATTCTTAAGAGGAAGGGAGGAAACGAGTCACTTCTCGGATCCCCCAAACAAAGCCAGAGTGAGCTAAACTTCCCAGGTCAGTAGGTTGTCCCTAACTTACCAGGTGCACAAAAGCTACTCCAAATACCTTCTCAGTCCTCTTTTTCTCAAACATGTTGTTCACACAAGGCCACAGAATACTACAGTTTAAGAATCAAGAACATTAAAAAAGTCTTTAAAGACTTTGATTTTGCCTTTTCAAAAATCCATCTATCTCCAAGGCGATCACAGGGCAAAAACATAGAACGCAGTAAGTGAAGGGAGTCTAGACACACAAAACCAGAGGGAGGTGGTTAGGGGCAGGGCTGGGTGGGCTACCACCACTCTGGAAATACATCAAAATATTGATGGAGCAGGGGCTCCTGATCCAGGCTCCTTATGTTCAGATCCCAGCTCTTTCATGTATGAGATATATGCCCTTGGACAAGTTACTTCACCTGAAAAAGAGATCCTAATGGCACCTCCTTGAACAAGCTGTAGGGGATAAAGGAGAGAGTGCACATAAAGCACCAGGCCTCGCCCAGATTAAATCACCCTGTAGAGGGAAACCCTTCTTGTTTTTGCAACTTGCAAATGATCATCCTTGATAAAGGCTTTCCTCAGGAGGGGGCCAGAAAGCTTGCATGCATTCAGGTTTCTCATGTCCTGTGTCCTTGCCCAGAGAGAAGATGCTCTTGTACTGCTGAGCCTGGAGAGCCAGGCCTGGGAGCATGGGATTACATGGCAATAATCACTTGGCAAGTGCAGGCCAAGCACTTATCAGAAGCGGTGAAAATATGCAGGTCTGTAGAATACTGAGCTGGGCAAACTGCCCAATCCCTGTTCGTGGGGCTCTTTTCACAGTCTGGCAAATCCATATATCACCACTGCTCATTCCAGTTCTCCCAGCTCCCGTGCGCCCTGCACTAGCAATCTGGCTGCAGACTTGGTGGGCTGACGCTCTCCTGCATTGACTGCCTCCATTTACCGCCAAGAAATTGCTTTGGCCCTGCAAGGTGGCCAGGGGAGGGTCTCCTGGAAGTTGGAGTAGACTCACCCTCAGTGCTAGGTGACTACTTCCTCACTTTTACTAGTATCAGTCCTGAGGCTTCCAGAACGCCAGATACTATGTGGTTTGTTGTGTTGTCCCTAACGGGAAGAAAAAGCTAGAGTATGATCTGATCTCCTGCCCACCCCAGAAATCTTCCAATACGAGCTCAGCTGTCACTTCCTTTAGAAGGTCCCCCAGACACACCCTCATCCTATGGCAGTGTCTCCCGCACCTCTTCTCATGGGTCACATGTAGAGAACGGTATTTGTACTTCACACTGGGGGAAGCGGGCACAAAGCCACTGGAGTGGCAGGGCCCACACATTCTGCACCATGGCTGAGAGGACAGAAATCTCGACACAGCCCTAACCTTTTTCTGGGTCATGGCCCTGTCTCCTGGCGCGCACTCCGGCATCATGGTGCTTGGTCCCGTCTCGCGGTGCGCGCTCCTGCATCACGGTGCTTGGTCCTCACAGCGCGTGCTCCTGCATCACGATGGTGCGCAGCCCTGTCTTACAGCACACACTCCTGTATCACAGTGCGCGGCCCTGTCTCACAGTATTCATTACATTTAGTGCCATGCCCAGTGACTTTTCTATCTCCCCAACAAGCCAGTAAACTCCGTGAGCTGGACTGGGTGCTATTTACTGGTGTCTCCCCCCACCCCTAGAGCAGTGTTGGCTCTCGGCAGGCATTCACTACGTATTTGTTCAGTGTATGAATGATAAAGGACAGCATAAAGCAAGACAGCGATGCAGTGAGCACAGAACCACCTTCCTGATTTAAACTCCTTTTTCAAAATCATCAACCTCCTTTATAAACATCTTTGGAAGCAAAGTTACCTCTGTCCTGCTCTCCTTTTGGAGACAGACAGAAAACAACTGGAAGGAAAATCATCCTTGAAGAAGCTGAAAATTGTCCCGAGCCTGAACCACTACTGGGTTTTCAGAGGAGGCCGCCAAGGGCAGTGAAAGTTGGACATGGTCAGGGAGGAGAGAAGCAGAGGTATCGACGTGCCAGGGAACTCAAGTTACACGGAAGCCGTCTTCAAGCAGTTAATCCCCAGAGACTAGCATGTCTGGGAGTACAACTGCCGGCCCATTTGAGGCTACCTAGTGGCCGGGGAGGCCACACACAAAAAATGTGCAGACACACCATCTTTGCAGAAAGCAATCTCTTAACATGGTTGGGAAGAGAAGAAAGGACTGGTGTTAATGGTAGCAAGTACTTCCTAAGTGTTAAGTTTGCCAGGTGATATTTAAGTGCTTTAAGAGATATTAAAGGCTTATTTAATCCTCAAAACAACCCTGTGAGGCAGGAGCGATTCTCCCTATCTTACAGCTGGGGAAACTGAGATAAAGTAAATTGCCCCAAGCCGTACAAATTAGAAGTCGGGCAGCCAAAATTTAAACCTGGGTCATCTCACTTGCACTCTTAACCACTAAGCCAGTCCTGAGACTACTTAGTCGGTAAGAGGGTTTAAAATGCTAGATCATGCTGTGTGCACCTGTGGCTATGGCTTTGAGGCTAAGCACACAGCTCAGGCCTCCAGGCAGAATGTTAGAGAAAGTGCTCAGAAACAAGAGGTAAGATCCAGGAGTATAATAGACAGATTCAAATGACTCAACCCCAGCTCCTCCTCAACACTACCTGTCAGCTGGCTCACAAAGCACAGCCCTTTCCAAAGCTGAGGGATTGCCTGAGAAGAAAGAGTAAGAGCCCCCAGTAAAACTCCTTCATGGAAGGGGGGAGCAATCGTGACCAACTAAGCGTAAAAAATACATTCCCCACACCATGCCACTAAGGAGACGACACTCAAAGAATAGATGAAGGCCTCAAAAAGAGGTACAATAACAAAAAGGTAGAAAAGGAAGCTGACAAAGTTGACGGAAGACACGGAAGAGAAAAATAAAGCCATTACAAAAGTGAAAATCTCATCAGAGTAAGCAAGGTAAGGGAAAATACTAACAGAATTAAACCGGGCAAAAACCTTTCAGATTATCAGAGAAAAGACACTCAAACAAAGCTCCAAAACACTGATGCCCCATGAATGGTTTTTAAAAAGCACTGAAAGCAAAAGTCACAATGTACACAAAAAAGATGACAGAACTGAGGCCAAATGTACCTCTGTGGAGGGACGTAGAAGGATTGGCAAGATGCAGAACTTTAAAAAACAAGTTTCAGTAAGTGCATGGAGTATGTGTTTATTTGTAAAACAGAAAGGATATGCATACATACGAATGCATGTAAATGCACAGAAACATGTAGAAAGAACACACATTAAATGGAAACAGTTGTCTCTGAAGAGGTGTGGTGGGATCATATGCCCTTTTGTGCTGCTTGAATTTTATGACCATCAACACCTCAACAACAAACTTTTCAAAGAAAGTACATATTTTTTGAGCCATCAAGTATATGTGAAAATATGAACAGTGACACAATGGGAGACTTGAGGGACATTTCTCAGGCTGAATGGACTAGTTACTATACCAACATGGTTGACCCATGGAATAAATGAAATTTGCTTCCATTTTTTACAAATCCCATCAAAGTATCATTCCTCCCCTAGCTAGGGATCCAGTTCAAGAATATCACGTTATCCTTATGACTTCAATCTTCACAAAGCTTTCCATTCAGTCAAGAACATACTTGTAGGCATAAAAATGTTCCCCCATGTACAACGAGAATGAGTGGTGTGCTAACCAAGCCTACTTGGCAAACTTCCAACCTCTACAGGCAAGTGGCCAGTGGTTCTGTAGACCAACAAAGGAAAGGGAGTTGCTCTATGTCATTCTGTTCAGACTGAATTTTCTCTGTGATCCACTTACAACAGAGTTAGAGCAGAGAAGATGCAAGTAAGAGTTTGCCCAGCTCTTAACTGCTGTCTCGATGTCTTCACTGTGGCACAGTGGATCCCATCTACAGAAGGAAGATTCCCAAATTGTTGTTGAAGGCCCTTAATGATGAAAGGTTCTCTTTCTCATGGCCAGTTTTGAGATGTACAATGCTTAGGCTACAGGATTTAAAAGGTATCTGCTTACTTAAAGTGAGTTCAAAGGTCAAGTGACATGCTTATTTTCCATCTAGAATCTAAACCTCCAAAAAAACCCAAAACAAACAAACAAACAAACAAACAAAAACAACTGAAATAGGAACCATCCTCCAATTACTCCAAATGAATATATTTTACCCAATGTGGGGTTGATGACCAGAAACACACACATGGTAACTAAGAGACATGTTCAGCAGCAAAATAATGATCTTAGTAAAGAAGAGCATGCTCACCAGCTGTACGAGTCTTAGAAAGTCAATGAAGACATCACTTCTCAACATGTCTGGGTCCATGGTTACTGAAAAATATGGATGGTGAGCCCGGTTAGCATGCGGCTGGGTTGACTTCTCTGTTAAACTGCTCTGTCCTCAAGGTAGCCCTGAAGGCCTTGCCAGTGTGCCCCTGCCTCCTTGGGCAATGGAGCTACAACCGAGCAAATACATGAAAATCCACAAAGCGTGCCTCCTCCAGGCAGCCTTGACAGCAACGTGAACCCACCATATCGGCCCCAGGAGTCTCACTTTATTCACACATCCCCATATCGCTCAACATCCAGCTTGCTCCCCTACCAGGATGATGATGAAGTTAATGTGAAAAAGCAAAAAGATCTTAAAACTTGGACCTGGACTCCCACTTTGGCAAGACATTTCTTAATTTGAAAATCTGAAATCAACCAAGAATCCCTGATTGAGAGTACCTCTCTTAACAATAGGAGCTCTCAAGAGGTTATCCCCAGAGAAGTGATTGTAAGGCTGTCAGAGAGATTTAAAGTTTTCTATTCTTCTATACCTATAAGAGTATTTGCCCTCTTGATTTTGAAAGCTCAGATACCAATATTCAGGTGCTGTGGCCAGAGCAGAAGGGCAGAAGCTTTCCCCTGAGAAGTCTAAACTCCTGCAGGAGGTGCTCTCCAGCCTGTTTTCTCATTTCTTTCTTTCTTTTTTTTAATAGGATTGATTGATTGATTGATTGATTGATTTGCCAGAGAGAGAGAAGAGCACAAGCAGGGGGAGCAGCTGAGGGAAAGGGAGAAGCAGGCTCCCCGCCGAGCAGGAAGCTGGATGTGGGGCTTGATCCTGGACCCTGGGATCATGACCTGAGCCGAAGGCAGACACCTAACCGACTGAGCCACCCGGGCGCCCCCTGCTTTCTCATTTCTTACCCTCCTGCCTGTAACGCCTCTCCTGGACCCCGCACTCTAGCCAAACTCATGTACTTACTAAATCTGTAGCAAATGTCTTTCTCTTTCCCTTCACTCCCCCCACCCCCACCATGCCTTTTCCTTCCTTCCTTCTTTCTTTCTCTCTCCTTCTGTCTTTTTCTCTTTTCTTTTTTCTCTTTCAGTTTCTCTTTCCTTCCTTCCCTCCCTCCTTCCTTACCTCGCTCTTTCCTTCTTCCCTTCCCTTTTTTTTTTGTTGCCAGTTCAATTGACTGCCTCACTGTAACTTCTACCAGCCTTCAAAACTAGCACTGACGGAAGTCATTTCAAGTTGTATCTTTCCCAACAATGCAACATTTTTCAAAAGAAAGTAACGAAAAAAAGGTCTCCCTGTTATGAGAAACTTTTTATAAAAGGTATTCCCTCTTTTTTAAGGGAGATGATTTTGGGGGATGGGGAACCCTTGTCTTATTTTCTGGAATCTATGTGGTGGATATGCAAATTAACATTGTAATTGTTAGCATGGATTCTTGGAGATGCGGAAAGTTGTTGAAAAAAGTGTTCATTCAATTAGTATTTACTGTGCAACTGTTAAGAACCAGGTACAATGCTAAGCACTTTGTCTATTTTAGTTCATTTAATCTTCACGACAAACCCTGCGATAAATATTATCTCCACTTTACAGATAGACACTGAAGCTCAGAGAAGGTAAATGTTTTGCCCAAGGTCATATAGCCAGTGAAGTGCAAACCTAGGATTTGACTCTGGGTCTGACTCTAGAGCCCACGGTCTTAAGTCACACTGTCTCCTTGCTCTGCCTTGCCAGAGGAGGATGCAGGAGATATCCCCATGATGTGCACAAAGGCCAGGCCTGGAAAAGCAACCCCTTAGGCACTGTGATCGTTTGTGGAAAGGCCAGTAGTTAAAGGAGTATTTCCCTAAGACATGAGAAATCAAACCAAGAGAGAAGAAAAATTCAACAGATATTACATTTTGAGTTTGAAAAGGCTTATTTAACAGGTCTAAAAGAGGTATATTCTCCATTACAAAAGACGAATGGGAAATAGAGGACTTCTAGAATTTTAATTTACTATCTTCTTTAAGGAAACAAGTGCCATCATGAGAGTAATGAAGTAAGTCTATAATTCCTGATCTAGAATGGTCTATAACATACAGATTTTTAAGAGGGAAAAATCAACTTACAGAAGAAAAACACATTTTTTCTTGTGCTATGAAGGGCATTGGTGGGATAGTTGGTGTGGTTTGAGAAAGGTCTCTAGATTAGATAACATTATTTTATCAGTGTTAATTGCCTGATTTTGATAACTATAGTGTGGTTGTAGAAGAGAATGTCCTTGATCTTAGGGAATACACACAGAAGTATTTAAGGGGAAAGTGGCTTGTGTATGTAACAAAGGCCTCTCAAAACATTATATATAACACACACACGCACACCCCGAAATTGAGAGGATGACAAAGCAAATATAAAATGTTAGCATTTGGGAAATCTGGGTGAAGACTATACAGAAATTCTTTACATTATTTCTGCACCTTTCTGTAAGTCAGAAATTCTTTCAGAATAAAGTTTTTAAGAATCAGGTATCAAAAAGTATATAGAGTACATTCCAATCTGTGTTTAACAAACAGGGATGTGCACACACACCGGTAGACACAAAAATTGCTTCCAAGGAATACATAAGTCATAGTGTTTACTTCTAGAGGCCTAAGGGGGTGGGGGCTGGGCTGGAAGGGAATGTACCTTTCATTTTATACTCTTCGGACAGGATCTACTTTTCAAATATTTTGTGTACATACTATTTCCCCTTTTCAAAATCTTTAAATACTTGAATGCCAATTTTGCTACTTCTCCCAAACCCCCTTTCTGAGAGTGCTTAGTTTTGCCAACCACAGTTTTGCTGTGCACAGCATTTGCAGGATACAGGCAAGGGGCAAGGACCGGGGTACTGCAAGCCTCATCAGGGTCAGAGCAGACCTCTGAGGCTCCCTGGTTGTTGGACAGAGATGGAAAAGCAGCTCTGATATTTTCTCAGAGCTTTCAGGAGAACAGTTCATCTCAGCCCTCTGTTTTGGTCTCAATTCAGGTAATAGGTCTTTGACTTTTACAATCAAAGCCAACATACAGCATCCAAAGGCAAATGTGAAAACAGAGTATTTTTAAAACCAAATACAAAGGCCATATTTTGTATGTTTCCACTTATATAAAATGTTCAGAACAAGCAAATCTATTAAGACAGAAATTAGTTTAGGAGGTGATAGAGGCATGTGGGGGAGAGGAATAAGGGGTGATTGATAATAGACATAAGGTTTCTTTTTGGGGTGACAAAAATGTTCTCAAATTAGATTATGGTGGATGAATGCACAATTCTGTAAATATACTAAAAACCATTCAATTGTACAACTTTTTAAAAAAGATTTAATTTATTTATCTAAGAGAGAGAGAATGGGGGGGAGGGGCAGAAGACGGGTCCCCGCCGAGCAGGGAGCTGGACATGGGGCTCCATCCCAGGACCCTGGGATCATGACCTGAGCCAAAGGCAGATGCTTAACTGACTGAGCCACTCAGGTGCCCCGAACGGCACACCTTAAATGCGTGCATTTTACAGTATATGATCTGTATCTCGATAAATCTGTAAAAATAAAATCCAAATACATACCATTCTGCAAATATTGTTCCAACTGGCCCCTCCTCTCATCAGCCATGGATGTGGTCATTGCAAGATAATACTTTGGTGGAAAAGGTGGCAGGCAATTTCCAAAGACCCGCCTCAGCTGAAAGATCCAGAAAATGCAGTTAAGGCAAAGAACCTCCAATTCAAGGTTGATGAGACACCAAAGCCTCCTCTTAGGGCAAGTCTCATTATAGTACTTAATTTAAAATTAACCCTTCGTGGTGGCCAAAGGGAGGAAAAGGGGATGATTTGATTTTCTTAGGAAGGAGTTTATTTCAGGATAGGTTTCTGAAGATACTATTAGACATACTACAGACTGACCTCTCCAGTCTGAGTTTGGTAGATTTGGGATTTGGGATACCTTTTAATTTTTCATTTGTTTTTGCAAGACTGTCCACCACGCATACCATACAATGTTTCTTTAACTCATTCTCCAATAGTATCTGTGATAACAATGAGCATAGTTAGGAATTTAATTCCCCACCCCACCTCCACCAAGTCTGAACGTAACAGATGCTTACAGCATGCGATCTGATATGGTATCCCCTAGCCAGTACTAATGGGCACTGGGAATATGGTTAGTCTGACTTGAGATATGCCATCAGTATAAAACACACTCCAGACTCCCAAACTTAGTACAGAGAAAAAAGAAGTAAAATATTTCACTAATAACTCCTTATATTGATATGTTGAAATGGTAATATTTTAGATATACTAGAATAAATAAAGTATATTAAAATTAATTTCACCTGTTTCTTTTTATGCTTTTTAATCGGGCTACCAGAAAAATTTAAATTATATAAGTGGCTCACATTATATTTCTATTGGACAGTGCTGGCTTATACAATTCCTATAAGGCTGACATGTGATCCCAGTAGCAACCCAGTCAGGCCCTTCCCACCCTCCTACTCACCCAAATATTGATCCAAGAGCAAGGTGGCAATTATTTTTATGCAACCTAAATAGTGGATGTATCAAAAATATGTTTTAAAATTAGATAATCGAAAGTGTATCTTCCTTCATTCCAGCCCTACACTTACAGTAGCAGCTTGAAGATAAGGCACGGCATCATTCTCTCTAAAATAAGAGAAAGGAAGGGCACCTGGGTGGCTCAGTCGGTTAAGCCTCTGACTCTTGACTTCGGCTCAGGTCATGATCTCAGGGTCAGAGGCCCTGACATGGAGCCCGTGTCGGGTTCCACGCTCAGCCTGCTGGAAATTCTCTCTCATTCTCTGTCCCTCCCCACCCTCTCTGAAATAAGTAAATCTAAAAAATAAAATAAAATAATAAAATAAAATAAAATAAAATATAAAATAAAAATATAAAATAAAATAAAATAAAATAAAATAAAATATGAGAAAGGAAACTAGCCAGAAATCAGGTTTTAACATGGTACCTCTGCAGAAGGGTAAAACTCTTACTATTTCATAGTCAGTGGCTTAAAGAAAATGAAAACAGATTTAAGAGAAACAAACAGGTAGAAATTTTAATTCCATGGCCTTTGTCACAAACAGTGTGTATGTGGTGAATATTAACAATGCATAGGCCCTAGCTTCAAAATACATCAAGAATCTTACCAGTTCTCAGGACACCTGCGTGGCTCAGTTGGTTAAGCATCTGCCTTTGGCTCAGGTCATGATCTCAGGGTCCTGGGATCGAGCCCCACATCGGGGTCCCTGTTCAGTGGGGGGTCTGCTTCTCCTTCTCCCTCTGCCTCCTCCCCCTGCTCATATTCTCTGTCTCTCCCTCTCTCTTTCAAATAAATAAATTAAAAAAAAAACTTACCAATTCTCTCCACCCCCACTGCCATCACCCTGGTCCAAACTACTGTCCTCTCTTTGCCCCATTACTGCAACAGCTTTACAACAGATCTTTCTGCTTCTGCCCTTGACCCCCTTCAGTTTATTCTTAATACTGCATCTAAGGTAACGTTCTAAAAAGGTAAGCTAGATCAATCCATTGCCCTGCTCAAAATCCTTCATGGCTTCCTATCTCACTCAAGGGAAAGTCAATATCTTCGCAGTGGCCAAGAGCTGTGCCATTCAACATGATGTCCACTAGCCACCTGTGACTACTTAAATCAATTAAAATGAAATAAAATTTAAAATTCAGTTCCTCAGTTGTACTAGCCACATTTCAAATACTCAACAGTATTTGTGGCAAGTTGCTACTGAACTGGACAAAGAAAACATAGAGCATTTCCATCAGCACAGAAAGTTCTATTGGACAGCATTGGTCTACGATCTAGAAAGGTTAGTAAATGCCTGCCTGTAGGTGAGATACATGAAGTAAATGGATGGCAGTTGATGGGAGTCAGGTTTTTCATTCCTGAAGTGAGAGTTTTCAGATAAGCAAGGGCAGTAGGCTGGAACGGTCCATGTGGTGATGGATGACAGTTGGGGATCTTGGTATGAACTCATGTTTAGCTTAACATAGATCCAGATGGTTACATATAAAGAGAGTTATAGATATGTGTATACACATATTTCCTTGCTCTGTCAGCTGAGAGGGCCTCGAAGCAACAACACGATAGTAGCAATGAACATACCTAGTCTGAGACCTTGGTTTCTCTTAACCATTCCCCAACTAAAGCAACCAGGGCTCCATGAAGAAAATAGTTGATTTTTTAGAACTGAAGCAGGAGATATAGAAGAGGCATCTGGGGCATCTTGTGGCACCAGAAAACAAGAAAGTGCTCAAAACAACAACAACAAAAAATCAACAATGGGCACATGTGCAAGAGTTACAGAAGCAAACTTGAAGGAGTTCCCATGGGCAGAAGCTGGAACAGGTAAAATAGCAGAATAAAGCAGTATTGAAGTATAATCCAAAGTATAAAGTAACTATCCAGGAGTCCATGCAGCTATCAATTACTGAAAAAATACAGAGGAGAGAAGAGACAAATCTGTGAAGAATCCTGAATAATTTCTGTAGATACTCATCCCATGAGGAGATGGAGCATTAATCTCCACTCTTTAAGTGTGGACTGCACATAGTGACTGCCTTCCAAAGGGTACACTTTGGAAAAGGAGGAAGAAGAGTAACTGCACAGTGCTGAAACCTGACAAACACAGCCTCAGCCGGGTGATCAAGGCATCAACAGTGGTAAGTCATGTTGATGGTTAGGTGCTCTTCCTGTGAGATGATTAGAGCAACAGGGACCTCTGTGATCTTCCATAACCCCAGCCTGGCCAGGTGAAAAACGTCTGATTCTAACAGAGGGACATCTCACAAAATAACTGACTCATGTACCTCAAAAAGGTCATTAAAAACAAGGAAAGTCTGTGAAATTGACGGTCAAGAGGAGAGTAGGCCGACAACTAAATGTAATGTGGTGTCCTAGATGGGATTCTGGGGCAGCAATAGGACATTAGCTTAACACTAAAGAAGCAGAACTGAATTGTGGTCTATAGTTCATCATAATGTATTAATATTGGTACATTAATGGTAACAAATGTTCCCTACTAATGGAAAACAACAGGGCAAACTGGGTGTGGGGATATATGGGAACTCTCTGTACTATCTTTGCAATATTCTGTAAATCTAAAACTGGTCCACAAAAATAAAGCTCATTAAAAAAAAACAAACCTGATGTTCTGGCTTCTTGAAAAATCAGAGGTTCTGGAATCACTGCGTTCACATTCTTCAGGTAATCATCCCCGTTAGAGGAGGCCTAAGCAGTTTCCACCAGTCCCCATTGCCTCTCACTTGGTCCACGCCTCTCATTTCAATTACCTGCCTGATCCCTATAGCCATCGAAGTTTGCAACCTTTCCTCCTCTAAATCTGGTAGTATAAAATATTATAGCAACAATTTTTAATGTACATATTTTTAAGATTTTATTTATCAGAGAGAGAGAGAGAGAGAGACAGAGGCAGGCAGAGGGAGAAGCGGGCGTGGAACTCCATCCCAGGACCCTGGGATCATGACCTGAGCCGAAGGCAGATGCTTAACTGACTGAGCCACCCAGGCGTCCCGCAACAATTTTTTTTTTTAAGTCAAGGCAATTTTCCTGTTATGCTATACACTGCCCAAAGACACCCCAGTTGGAGCATCAAATCAGGCAAGGCTGCTCAAACAACCTGGGATTTATGTACCCCATCTCTGTTAATTCCATGAACTAGGAGCAGAAAATTGTCTTCTTTGCATGTGACTATTTCTTGATTAACGGATTAAGCGATCTTTAAAATGCATTTGTCTTCCTAGGCATGCGTTCATAAATGTTGAAGATGCTCCCAAATTTGTTTGAATCACAGCATCCTTGAGCCATCTGGGTTTTCCGTGCGCAGGAGAGCATCTTGGCCCTACCGTAGGGCCAAGAGCTGGGGGAAAAGTCACCAAGGCTTAAGGTTCTATGACCCAACACAGCCCAAACTCTCCCAGCAGGTTTTACAACCTAAGCTGACTTCTCAAGGAATATTTCCCCTCCCCTCTCTAATACTGGTTTAAGGGGGAAGATAAACATATAATAAACTGAGTAGTTAGGTCTGCCAAAGATCAATCATTGACTCCCCAAGTTCTTCAACTCCATCAAAATATAACCTTTGCTACTGGTCTCAGCACACAGTTTAGCTATAAAAACCAATAGCATAATAAGAATTACCTGTTATTAGAGTTTAGCCCAAAGACTTCCCAAAAATTGTTCAAAGTTCTCCAAAGGAAAACATACCTCTTTTGTTTATTATGAGATGTTTTGTTTGGGGTTTTTGTTTGTTTTTAAAAGACCATGTTTAGATAATACATGTTTTTAATCCCAGCACAATCCCCTGCACTGATTTCTCCATCACAGAGTTCTGCCTTTTAACATGAAGAGAACTTTACTGGCCAACGGAAAATATCATCTCCTTCCCCGCCTTATGCACTCCCAGCCCCCCATACTTATCCCAAAGTGGTGACCCAGGACAAGTGGAATTACAGACACAAATAGTGTCCTTTCTAATGTTGGCTTATCCATTCCACTTCTCTAAGGCCCCTTCTAATCAAAACCCCAGATTTACCAGATAAAGGGCCACAGCTCAAAGCAATCCAGACTGTGGCATCTGGCACCAAATAATATTAGCTTTTATATTATTCTATTTGTTTCTCAAAATAGCCCTGTGAGGTAGATGATCATCATCACCATTAACATGTCATCCTGCCACCTTCACATCAAAGTTCCATGATAATCACAGTAACCTGAAGCTTGGGGAGATGAAGTGACTTTAACCAAGGTCCTATAAGCTAATAAGTGGCAGATTTTCATTACTTTTCCCTTCTCTCCCTCATTTCCCTTCCTTCTCCTCCACCAAATCTCTATTGAGCATCTACTAAAGAAGGATTCCATGCTGGGTATACTATGCCTATAGCTTCATTCATTCCTTCATTTAAATATTTGGCTTTTGTAACTAAATAACCAAGGGAAAGAAAATACATACACAAAAGGAGGAACATGACAAGGTCTAAACACGAAGTGACCCAGGAATCCAAGAAAGGCAACTCATGCAATCAGGGAGGACTTCCCAGAGGAGGTGAGGCTTGAGATGGGTCTTGAGAAAGGGCTGGTCCCTGACCAGTGGGCCAGAAAGCAGGGGTCTTCCCAGGAGAGGGAAGTGAGGTAGACAGAGGTAATGAATGGGCCAGCCTAATACAGAGAATCTGAGGTATGGAAAGAGGGGAAGGAGCTAGGCTGGGTTAGCACCTGCAGCGGCGAAGACGAAACCAGCACATATGGGCTCACACAGCATTTCCATCACCGTGGAAGGATCCTTTGCAAGATTCTATGGCTTGTGCCCATTGCCATATCTGATACTGGCAAAATGTTTGCAAAGGGGCGGGCATCCTTTTCATAGAGTCCAGTGTCGCTTACACAGTATGGCCTCATCTTTAACACTTGGTCAAAATGAGCTAGTTAAATGTTTCCATCGAAGGTCTCTTTAAATCCCTTAGAGGAAGGTGGTGTAGGCAAGAGTGGAGCATAAATCAAACTGGTTTTATTTAGCCAAAGGCGCAGAGAGAAGTCAGGTCAGGAAGTTCACATGGCAGAGAGATGAGCAGCCCTCAACAGCAGAGGGGCAAGCTGCCAGACCTGGAAGGAACCTCACCATGGGACAGGGCTACAGGCGATGACTTCAGAGGGCATAAGTCACAACCGACATCTTGAAAAACAGCCAGGTTTAGTTCCCCAGGGGCAGTCTTAGATGCAGTAGCCTCCACGCAGCTGGGCAGAGAAAGAGCAGGGGCCATCTCGCCTGGGCAGGTGCCCTTCCTCAATCTCAAAGTTATCCAATATACAAAATAGAAATCCAATACTTAAAGTCAAAAATCATATGTGCTGAGATGCCTGGGTGGCTCAGTCAGTTAAGTGTCTGCCTTCGGCTCAGGTCATGATCTCAGGGTCCTGGGACCAAGCCCCGCATCAGACTCCCTGCTCAGCGGGAAGGCTGCTTCTCCCTCTCCCGCTGCCCCCTGCTTGTGCTCTCTCTCTCACACACTCTCTCTCTCAAATAAAATTTAAAAAAAATCACATGTGCTGAAGTGCCATCTGCACATAATATACCACAGTGCATATCATCTAATAGGAACTTAGTAAATGTTTCTTAAGTAAATAAAGCAGTTAATTCTATAAGATGACATTTTTATTCTATCAGGATACAGAACTTCCTAGGAAATATACTCAAATGCACACACAGATGGGGCCTTTTATTGTTTTCCTTTTTATAGTGCTTTGTATTAAATCAGATTAAGAATTCTGAGCCATTTTCAGATCTTCAGTGGAAGAGGAAGAATAAGATCTAGCTGAGAAGTGCCTGAAAGACATCCCCCAAACTTTCTCAGACTCAGGGTTGCCAGACAAAATAAAGGATGCCCGGTTAAGTATGTCCCAAATACTGCATGGAACTACTTATCTAAAAATTTCTTTGTTGATCAGAAATTCACATTTAACTGGGGAGCGTGTGTTTTTATTTGCTAAATCTGGCAAACTTACTCAGACTATATACAAAACGGGAGTCATTATGATGAGTGTACTGCTGACCCCACAGAGGCTTGCTGGGCAGTCTGAATAAAATCCTGTGCTTGGAACTCAGACAGAAAGCAGATCTTGGTTGCCTGGGGTGAGAAGTGGAGGGAGAGGATCAAGGGCAAAGGGGACAAGGGAATTTTAGAGTGCAAAACTTTTCTTTATCTTGATTATGGCGGTAGTATTGTATACATGTACCAAAATTCACCACATTGAACACCTGAAATTGGGAATTTTCATGTTATTCCAAAATAGAGTAAAACCTTGTTATTTTAGGACCCAATTGTTTTACTGATACAATTTATTTTGTTGACTTTAGTAAGAAACCACAAAATGTAATGGGTCAGAGCAGTTTCTGGAGATCAAATCTTGGCTCCAATACTTACCAGCAGTTTGATTTGGAGCAAGCTGTGCCTCAGTTTTCTCATCTGTTAAATGAGGCTAATTATAATCCTAGCTCATAGAACTGCTGTAAAAATTAAACATGCTATTACAGGTAAAGCTCTTGGTACCAACCTTAATGCACAGTAACTGCTTGTTGTTTTAAATTAATAATACAAATAGCCACCTAAGTTCTAAATAGTTTCTTTAAAATGAAGTTGTTCCGACTGAAAGAGGAAAAATGCTAAGTGCAAGGTGCAAGATAGTTGGAAACTGGATAAAGAAATCTCCACTTTTGGATTTTGAAAAATTTGGGACAAATATGAAGTATTAATTAATATCTACTCTATACCCCACATTGGGCACCAGGCTGTGGCAATTCAATATTTAAGAGTCCACTGCAGTGGGGTGTCTGGGTGGCTCAGTCAGTTAAGCATTGACTCTTGGTTTTGGCTCAGGTCATGTTCTCATGTTCTCATGAGACTGAGCCCCATGTTAGGCTCCACGCTCAGTGGGGAGTCTGCTTGAGATTCTCTCCCTCTACCCCTCCCATCATGGGTGCACCTTTCTCCCGCAAATAAATAAATCTTAAAAAAGAGGGGGGGGACACCTGGGTGGCTCAGTTGGTTAAGTATCTGCCTTCAATTCAGGTCATGATCCTGGGGTCCTGGGATGGAGCCGCGTATCAGGCTCCTTGCTGAGCAAGAAGCCTGCTTCCCCTCTGCCTTCAGCTCCCCCTGCTTGTGCGTGCACGCTCTCTCTCTCTCTGACAAATAAAATCTTAAATCAGTCAGTAAATGTTTACTGAGCATGTACCATGTCCGAGGTTCTGGGAGAAACTAGCCCCTACTCTTCGCAAGTACCCTGGAAAGTGGACACCTATAACCATCTCTTTATTATTTTTGATGAAAAAAATTGAAGGTCAGAGAAGAGGTAAGGTGACCAGCCAGGAAGTGGTCAGTCAATTCCACACCCTCCTGCTCCCCACAGCTGTCTCCTGTTTTTCATGCTGTGAATGGCAACCTCCCCAATTCCACCTCACATTAGAGAAGACGGATTAGTGGGGGAGATGGTACCTCAACTTCCTCCTCCAAATACCTAACACACCTGTACTTTCTCTTCCCTTAAGATCTCCATCTGCCAACCTCAGCAGTCCTCTCAAATCCCCAGACAGGTTCTGGTCACAATTAGCTTCTCATCTTGCACAAGTCTGAATCCATGCCTTCCTCACTGAGTCAGCCCACCATCATTCCTGAGAACCTTCTGGGGCAACTGCAGCAGGTGGTAGCAATTCAGAGAGGACCACACAAATTACAAGCATATTACAAGATAACAAGCGCATTTTACACCTGTTTTTTGTTGACTCCAAAGAAACCTAATCATACCTTGAAAATGGACTTTTCCAATGCCCTCTGATACGAGCAAGAAGGCTCACTGCAATGTTTGCAATATAAAAAAAAAATGAAATTAAGAGCTGTCCTTCAACAGAAGGTATATCTGTTCACTAGAAACCCAGATTGCCTGGAAGGATTCTCCTAAAAATGTTAATAGCTGTTGCCTGGGCAAGTTTGTCTGTTTCTTGGTTTTGTTTTGAGTTTTATTTATTTAAGTAATCTCTGTACCCAACCTGGGGCTCAAACTCAGATCAAGAGTCACATGCTCTTCCCACTGAGCCAACCAGGCTCCCCTTTCTTTCTAATTTTAGGTATATTCTCTTTAAAATCAAGGTATATAATCTAAAAAAAAATTAATTAAAAAGAAAACATTATGCGTGGAGGTAGAGGGAGGGTGAAGTTTATTTCCAAACTTTCTTTTACTCCTCCAACCCATTTTGAAGACCTGCAACACTTCCTTATTAGGACAATAAAACCCACTAGAGCAGGTTAATAAATCAGGCTGCCTCCCAAAGAAAATGCCACCAGGACTTCAGAGTGAGAAACTGTAGTGGGAAATGGCCTCCTGTCCTGATAAGTCATCTGCTTCCTGGGTTTCCAGCCTGCCAGTACTTGAAGCCTATAAATACACGAATTTGAAAACAAAAATAAACACACCTTTTTAAAAGAAGTCAGCCTAAGAAACTCTGGGAGATTAAACACCTACGTACAAGTTCCTAAGGCACCTTGGTCTAGACTGAGTATGCTCATTTTGAACGGGGGCGTTGTCCTGGGGGACAGCTGAAACTGAAAGGGAGCACCCTGCCAGGTGGGGCTGCTGGAGATCATTGGGCTGGAAAGAGGCTGGGAGAATGACCTGAGCCTATCCCCTCATCTCCCAGCTGTAGATGGTTAGGAGCGGCAACCTATATACAAGGAGCGGTATGCCAAGCAATACCAAATTGCCGATTAGGAGCTTGGAGTCCTCAAAAAGTCCGCTGTCTTGGGGCGCACTCACTTGCCTCGAACCTGCTCACCTGTTCGTTCCAACGATGCAGTCGGCTGTAGCGCACCCTGCAGAAGAGGTAGCCGTCCAGGTACACGGAGTACAGCTGCAACACAGAGACAGACCGTCTGGATTAGCTGAGCGAGCAGGTGAGCCCCCGCCCCGCCAGGTCGCCAACCTTCCCCAGCCCAGTCGGCCCTGGCCCCCGGCGCACCACGTAGCGGCCCCCCAGCGGGTCCAGCTGCTGCTGGGACACCGGGATACAGAAGTGCATCTTCATGGCTCCGGCGGCGGCCCGGGAGCAGCGCTTGGCAAGCCGAGCCGCGGCGGCGCGTTCGTCCGCGAGTCCGGGCTCCCGGAGCAATTGCGCAGCAGCTCAGCAGCAGCGTGGGCCCAGTCTCGGAGTCCCGGGGCGGTGGCCCGGGTGGTGGCGGCGGGGGGTGGGGGTTGGGGGGGGAGCTGGGCACGCCGCCCCGGGCCACGCCGCCCCCAGCCCCGCCCAGCTCTGGCCGAGCGGCTGGGTGCCGGGGCCTGCGGGGAGCCGGGCTCCCCGGGGCCAGGCGGGCCCTGGGACGGAATACACGCCAGCCCGGGGTTTCACCCTGGGTGTGGACCTCTCCCAACTCCATGGCGGGAAAATCGTACATGCGTGCGTGGGTGCGGGGGGAGAGAGAATTCTGGGGAGAAGGTCCTAGGTTTTCTCCGGATTTTCATCAGAACCCACAAAAGTTTAAAATGGTTGCTCCAGCCACATAAATGTCCTGCCCACGTGCCAACCAAGGAGCTACTTCCCACCCTGCCCCAACATTTCAGGGTAGGGCTACGTGCTCGGGGGTGTGTGTGTGGGGGGGAATGCCGCCCAGGAGAAACCCGCTTTCTCCGAGCGTCCACTCCAGGGCTCCATTCTGACTCCGCGGCTTGTGGAATGTCTGGCCCCCATTCCAATGCGCCTGTAGCGTGAGGGGGAGACCGAGACGGAGCAAGAGATTGATCCCATGCAGATGCGCCCTCAAGCTCAAAAAGTTGACCTTTTCTCCAGGTAGGTGCCCCGACAGGGTTGAAAAAAGTTTGTGTCCCGTTACCCGTCGACAAAGCCCGCATGCAGCGCACCGCGAATTAAGATTTTCAAGAAATACACAAATCTAGTAGTTGTCCTAGGATTAGCGCAATTATATTAGCTTTAGTTTTGTGTGGTAACATTTGTTAAATCTAACACTGAAGGTATGCCATAATATTTATAACCCCGATTTAGTATTTTTTAATACTAAATATTTTTCCTTTAAAAACTTTCCCAATAATATATAGCGGAAACCTCAACAATTTTTTCCCTTCATATACCAGAAACCTTATCAGATGAAAATGGGTTGGGCCTCTCTTGATCCCAAGGAAGCCCTGGTTTTAAATAGGTGCCGGCATCCAGTTAGCTGGGTTTGTATAAACCCTGTGTTCTCTGGACTAACCAGCCCAAGTTCTTTCAACAGTCTTTGATCTTTAGCTGTGTAAAGTAATCCTCCTAATTCCCTTATTCTAGTGAAATCAAAGTAGAATTCCTGCCCCTCTGGCCATGGCCACTGGGGTAAGGGGATGCTGCAGTTACCTACACACCTGTCACTAGGCAGGTGCTGGGCTGCCTCCATACTTCCTCCTGTTCCTTAATCTCCTAACTCTTACGGGCAAACATCAAGGGCAACATCCTGCCACTGACCGAACAGGCCCAGAGTGGAGGAACTTTTCCAAGGTCACATGTGATTTCCCTCCCCGCCCCATTGGTCTGAGTGGTTTACTCTAGGATTCAGTGATAACACTGAAAGTCGTTTATTTTTTTTTAAAGTTTTTATTTAAATTCTAGTTAACGTATATGGTAAAATCGGTTTCAGGTGTAGAATTTTGTGATTCATCACTTACATATAACACCCAGTGCTCCTCCCAGTAAGTGCCCTCCTTCATGCCCATCACCCACCTAGCCCCTCCCCTGCCCACCTCCCTCCATCATCCCTCAGTTGGTTCTGTAATGCAAGCCCTCGCCGGGTGAGAGCTGAATGCCTGAAGGGGGATCTGGAACTAGGAAAGGAGAACCAATATTTGCCGAACACCCATTATTTCCTGCATGCCTACTGTGTGCTAGGCTCTCGTGTTCGTTCTACCACTTAATTTCCCCAGGTATTGTGAGCTAGGAACCATTGATGGTTCTGGTCTTACGGAAAAGGAAATGAAGACTTGGGACCATTAAGTTAGGGAGGTAGCATAGTGTAGAGACTAAGAATGGCAAGGGGAATTCCTATTCCAGTGGCTTTTAGTTGCGGGGCCTTGAGCAAGTTAGTGGACTCCTACATTGCATTTTCTTCCTTTATGAAATCGTGTTAATACCTGTATTCCAGGGGGCGCCTTGGTGGCTCAGTCGGTTAAAATCTCATGATCCGGGGGTCCTGGGATGGAGCCCTGCATCTGGCTCTCTGCTCAGCAGGGGAACCTGCTTCTCCCTCTCCCTCTGCTTGTGCGCGCTCTGTCCAATTTAAACAAACAAAAACAAAAACCTGTACTCTGGAATTTTCAGTCCAGGGTAGATGGGCCTTAGGGTTTTTCCTCTGCCAGTGGGCCATCTCTGAACTGGAAGGCTGCCCTACACCAAGACAAGGGGTATCCCTGGGTGTCCCCTGGGGTAGAGGTTTATCAGGTATGCTCTGGGATCTGGCCCAGTCTTCAGGGCAGCAAAGCAGAGCCCATCCTCCTGGGAACTTTCTTCCACCTGTTTGGGGCCAGCCTCTGCCTCCTAGCATTGATCAAATGGCCATTTCCTTCATCATTTGGCCAAGCCAACCCTGCAGCTGGTCTGGAACAGGACTAGACTCTGCTCTTGAGAGTCTGCTCTCCTTCACTCATTCAATGAACATTATTTTTTTGCCAGAGTATTTTGTATCTTATTTTTTCCAGCTTTACTGAGATAGGATTGACCTATAACGTTGTGTAAGTTTGAGGGGTACAGTGTGATAATCTGATACACATGTATATTGAGAAATAATTATGGTAATACATTTATCACCTCACATAGTTACCATTTGTATTTTTCTATTTGGGTGTTTGTTTTGGGGTCTTTTGTTTTGTTTTGTTTTTGTAGTGAGAACATTTAAAATCAACTCCTAGCAACTTTCAAATATACAATATAGTATTGACTATAGTCACCATGCTGGACGTTAGATCCCCAGACTTTATTCATCTCCTAGCTGGAAGTTGTTACCCGTTGTCCATCGTTCCTCTACCCCTCACCCCTGGCAACCACCACTCTACGCTTTCTATGAATTCAGTTATTTTAGATCCCACGTATAAGTGAGATCATCTGTTATTCGTCCTCTGACTTCACTTTGCAGTCCTCAAGGTCCATGTATTATTGCAAATGTCAGGACTTCCTTCTTTATTGTGGCCAATTAATATTGCTGTGTGTGTGTGTCACATTTTCTTTTTCAATTCATCCACTTGTGGACACTTAGGTTGTTTCCATGTCTTGACTATTATAAATAATGCTGCAATGAACATGGAGGTGCAAATCTCTCTTTAATTTGTCATAGAGTGCGAGCCAGCGAGAGAGCGCACGCAAGAGAAAACACAAGCAGGGGGGAGCGGCAGGCAGAGGGAGAAGCAGGCTCCTTGCTGAGCGGGGAACCTGATGTAGGACTCAATCCCAGGACCCTGGGATCATGATCTGAGCCAAAAGGCAGACGCTTAACGGAACCACCTCGTCACCCCCCAAATATCTCTTTGAGATGTGATTTCATTTCCTTATGCCCAGGAGCGAGATTGCTGGATCACGTGGTAGTTCTATTTTTAATATTTTGAGGAACCTCCATGCTGTTTTCCATGGTGGCTTCACCAACTTACATTCCCACCAACTGTGTGCACAAGGGTTCCCTTTTCTCCACACTTCAGCCAATACTTATCTCTTTTGTTTTTGCTAACAGCCATTCTAACAGTGAGGTGATACCTCATTGTGGTTTTGATTTGTACTTACCTGATAATTAGTGATGTTGAGTACCTTTTTATGTAACTGTTGGCCATTTGTAAACCTGTAGAAAAATATTCAGGCCCTTTGCCCATTTTTTTAAAATTCAGATATATGTAACATGTTAGTTTCAGGTATATAACTTAATGATTCAATATTTGTAAATATTGTGAAATGATCACAATAAGCCTAGTTAACATCCATCATCACAAATACTTACAAAATTTTTTCCTTGTGATAAGAAATTTTAGGACCTACTCTTTCAAATATGCAATACAGTATTAATATAGTCACCATGTTGTGCATTGTATCCCCAGAATTGGTTTTATAATTGGAAATTTGTACCTTTTTGACTACCTTCTCACATTACATTTCCCCCACCTAACTTTCCCCCAGTCCCAGCTCTGGCCACCACTCTTCTGCTCTCTCTGAGTTTAGGGTTTTTCTTGTTTTTTTTGGATTCCACATAGTAAGTGAGATGCTATGGTATTTGCCTTTCTCTGTCTGACTTATTTCACTTAACCTAATGCCCTCAAGGTCTACTCATGTTGTCTGAAATGACAAGATTTCCTTTTTTATGGCTAAATATTCCATTCTATAATACACATATATACACCACTTTTTTTTTTTTAAGATTTCTATTTTATTTTTTAGAGCGCGCACAAGCAGGGGGAGTGGCAGAGGGAGAGGGAGAAGCAGCCTCCCCGCTGAGCAGGGAGCCCACGCGGGGCTCCGTCCCAGGACCCTGCTCTTGAGAGTCTGCTCTCCTTCACTCATTCAATGAACATTATTTTTTTGCCAGAGTATTTTGTATCTTATTTTTTCCAGCTTTACTGAGATAGGATTGACCTATAACGTTGTGTAAGTTTGAGGGGTACAGTGTGATAATCTGATACACATGTATATTGAGAAATAATTATGGTAATACGTTTATTGACATGAGCCAAAGGCAGACGCTTAACTACTGAGCCGCCCAGGTGCCCCCATTTTTATTAATTCACCCAGCACTTATGTTGCTTCAATGTATTGGCTATTGTAAATGCTGCAATGACTGTGGGGGAGCATATATCTTTTTGAATTAGTATTTTCTTTTCCTTCTGATAAATACACAGAAGTGGAATTGTTAGATCGTAAGGTAGTTCTATTTTTAATATTTTAAGGAAACTCCATACTATTTATAGTGGCTGTGCCAATTCACACTCTCACCAACCGTGCATGAGGGCTTCGGTCCCTTTTCTCTACATCCTTGCCAACGTTTGTTATTGTCTTTTTGATAATAGTCATTC